AGTGGGTTTGTATTCCTTTTGACTGAAGGTGAGTAATATGTGAGTGGAGATCGCTGAGGGCAGAGCAGTCCATAATCACGTGTTTGACGGTTAGAGGTGATAAATTGCAGAAGTTACAGCTCATATGAATAGAATTTCAACTTACATGAATAGAATTTAACTCAGATGAGCAGAATTTCTCTATTCAGTTTTTGCCAACTCATATGACTAGAGATTCCAACTCATATGACTATAGAGATTTCAACTCACATGAGTTTAACGTTGAATCTACATTGTCTGATATATCAGAAACTAGTCACCGCATCAAAAAAATTATAAGAACAAAATGTTTTTATTTTTCAGATGTACATAACATAGTCACCCCTCTGACGTAAGGGCGTATCTCTAATTTCACATGAGTCCCGGGAAACATAGAGTTATACAGAGAATAGCGTGTGGAAACCGAGATACGCCTTTACGTCAAAGAGAAGACGTTATGTTGGTGTCTCCTGGTCAGAAACAGCACTTCTAAAAAATGACTAAAAATTGAATTTATATGGGTTGAACTTATCTATTGAAAATTTTGGGTCTTTTTGGTTTTGCTTTCAAAGTTGTGCGAACCCAGCACTATTTTGCCACCTTTTTACACAGTTCGGGTCAGGTTTTTAGGGGTTTTTCTCTTTTCTTCGTGATTCTAAGGAAAATGGTCGAAAAAATCACATTTTAACGGCGGAGCTAATAAACTGCTTTTTCACAGGATTAAATCAAGTTCAGGAACTTTTGACACACGTTTTCCGGAAGTAAATTTTACGCTATCTATTCAATGAGCATAACGGTTTTTTTCTCAGATAATCGTGGCTGGAGATGTGAAGCAAAGTTCCTCCTAAAATCAGCAAAAATGCGCCTTTTTTAAGCTAATTTTTGAAGAAAACGTTAATGTCACGACCAAAAAATTGAGCTACAAAAACAAACAAGGATGATTTCGGTAGGGAAATTTTATAATCTTTCTGGTTTTTTTGTTCTTTTTTTTCGTGAGATGAACCGTTGAGGAGATATTTGCAAAAATCTAATCGTGGGTTTTCTCAATTTTGAAAAATTCAAAATGGCTGCGCCCTGAGCACCAGACAATTTTCCTGAAGTTAATATGGCCATTTTCGGGCTTCTTTAGCACCTAGAAATCGAAAAAAGTTTGATTTGGTTCGAAGGATAGAACCCATGTTGACCGGTGCAGTATATTACCTCCATGACCACTTCTCAGCTTCAAGAAAAATCCTCAGAAAAATCATTAGAAACTTCACAAGAAGTTTTGTCCCGCGCTTATCTTATAATTCACGGTAATATCCAAAATTTGCTCTAACTTGTCGACAAATTTGAAATAATATAAAAGTCTTCAATAAATTTCAAGAATAAATTTTAGACTTTTATTTGCTTTTCACAAAATTAAAAAAAATAAACCTTCCAAGTGCAAAACCTTGAAAGAAACAAATCGGAAAGTACTAATTTTTTTGGCTACCGGTAGGAGAGGGGTAGTGGTGGGTAATGATGTCCCCTTTCCTCTCAAATTCAAGTATACTTTTAGGGATAATAATGTTTCTTCAATACGTAACTTCTTCAAATTCTCAAAAAAGAATTAAAAATATATTGTAATGAGACCTAGATCATAGGGGACTAGAGAGAGGAGGAGGGGAAGATTTAGAGGGGAGGGGGGTAGTTTATGGGTGGAAAGAGAATTTGGGACTCTTTTTTTTAAAAAAAACCAGAGATAAGAAAGCACCGTAGCTATCAAATAGCCATATGTTCTTAATACGGTCCTCGCAGGTCCGGGTTAGGTATTCATCGTGTAGGTAAAAAAAAAACGGTTAGTCATCTGATGGTTAGCAGTCATTTCACTTATTTTCCCCAATTATCACTTGTACCATGCCAAAAGTTGGATAAGAACACACGACTAAAGCATAAATCGAAAATTTAGCAAATTTAAAGCCCTTTGAATACCGAGGCGTCAAAGTCGGATTTGCTGTACGGAGTTTCAAGCAATCTGAAAAACAGTGAAAATAGGAAAAACGCGGGATGAAAATTCCGCAGGGAACAGCCCTGAAAAATTCGAAATTTGGGTCGACCCTCTGCCCTCTCACTAGGTAATAAAATCCTGCTTCCAGAAAAAAACCAAAAATTCACAATCGCAATCTTTGATAAAAATGGCTTACCTCCTTGTAGTACGTATGCAACGACGTACAAAAATGTAACGACTCTCCAGTATTGGCCCATCCTGTAGCTTGATAGAAGCTACATTTTTCTCCCGATTTCCAGTGATCGCTCGGTGTCCTTCCGTTGTGCATGTTTAAACAGATTTTATTTGCATTTTTTCCATTACATGTCATCTCTACATAACTATTACGTGCATTCAAATTTTATCACTGAGCATTCAAAAAAAAAAAAAAAAAATTGAATATTTGACGTGTTCATTTCCACTCTTATATTTGTCAATGGTGTGGCGTGAATGATCGATTATCGATATTTTCCCATTTAAATCCGTGGTATAGAATCGATTATTAAGGTGTTCGTTGCGAACACCCTGTTAATCGATCCTTTTCCATAGGTTTAAATGGCAGATCAATCGATACATCGAAAAGCTCGCCACCTCACTGGTATTTGCTAATCATATTGTTTATGACATTGTTGATCACATTGTAGCACACGTGTTTGTGAGGCTGTACAAATGGAAGTGTCAGAGAGCGCGTCATTTTTAAAGGTCCAATGCTCCGTTAGTACGGATTACTCAATATACTTCAGGTGCCGACATTATGGGTTGGGAAGTGTGCTTTTGAAATATTGAGCACAAATAGTAAAATAACAACACAAACTGATTGCGGTAGACGCAAGAGTCGTAAGGCGGTATGTTGGAGTTTTTTAGCCAACGTGCGTTAAATTCATGCAGCATAAAGTTATAATCCTCTAAAAGTGAGATATCACCTTTATGGTGAATTTAACGCACGCTGCGGCTAAAAAACTGCAACATAAAAATGGTAAGTTCAAATTTTCAATCCACTGTATACACTGAACTGACTTGTATTCTAGATTTGTTACTGTTCCTGATTTTTTCCTATAATAATTATAAGATTCTGAAAATTTGAGTGCATCAAATTTTGACCGGTTCAGACTGCAGAAGAACCCTTTGTTTAAGGAAAAATCAGTATCTTTACATGCTTGTTTTTACTTTAAGTCGGTAACCGTATTGAGTTGATAGGTGGAACATTCTTGACGACAATGAGTTTGATGTACATTCAATGTTCTAATTTTTTGGTGTGAGGTCAAGTGTGTCACTGCGTGTGTCGCATGAGATAATCTGGTGGAATGCGGTGGTGATGGAAAGCACTATTTCGGCAGGTTGTCTGGGATTTAGATATTTTGTCATCAACTCTCGGACATGCTTGATAAACTTGTGATTTCCTCAAAATTTTCCGACGTCGCTTTTGGTTTCCACATTTTCATTCGGATTTCATTTTCCAACCTTTTAGCCCAAAGTAGCTAAAAATCCGTGTTTTCCGCGATTTTACTTCAGATTTCCATCTGGCCCCAAAGAGGACGGTTGACCATATTCTCGAATGTTACGTGTCTAAGTGTAGTGGCCCTCACAACATATTCGAAGCTAAGCATAAGCGGGTCATGACCCGTCATCTTTGGGCCAAGGTCAAAATATGAGGTATAACCGCGGAAAGCATGGATTTTCAGCTATTTTGGGCTGAAAATTTCGACATGGGGACTTGAGTAAGATATACCAAGACTTTAATCCCTGATAAAACTCAAAATCATTTCATCAAGCAGCAAAAAATGTTAAGCACTATATGAGTGCGGCTTATTAGCTATCATTGAAATTGGCCCAGTAGAACACTGGAGCAAGCTGTGACAAAAAATGAAAATGTACATCGTTTAAGTGGGAGAATTCGCAACTTTACCACGTAATATAATCATGTAGATACGTACATATACGACATACATATACCTATGATAGTGACACATTCAGGGCGCTAAGTTTCCAAGATACTTTTAACTAATTTATTTAAAAGAAAGTGAGTTGGAGAAAAATACAAAAAATATGGCATGGGTGGACTGTTTATTGCATAAATTTAAGTTATAAATTATAAGAAAGAATCAAAGACCGTTTCATGTTTAGTTTTAAAGGCATCACGTTTACTACATAGAATAGCCTGTATGAAAGATTCACTTGTATTATTTCATCAATAAACACTGAAAATGTTTAACTAAATCTTCTATTTGGACGTATTTCTATCAAACAGAACTATGTGCTTTAAGAGATGAGCCCTGAGACCCATAAGAATACATGCATTACAGGGCTCACGTCATAATGCACATAGTTCCGTTTGACAGAAATACGTCCATTTTAAAACATCAAGTGAGTGCACCTCTCGGTATGTAGAGGAGAATCCCATTTGTGAGAGAAAAATCCTATATCTCCATTTTACATACACATATAGGTCGCTTTATAGCACTCCCTCGCGCTCTACGACACCTAACCTCCACTGCTCTCTGTCGAACCACAACCCAGCAGAAATGTATATCAGCATTTTTCTGCTGTTATTCTCTTTGATATGGTGATTCCAGTGATGCATATTAGGGCTGTTCAATCGGTTGTCGGTAAGCCACCGAAACAGTTCCGTTAAGAAAAAGTTACGATAAGAGCGCTCTTACCGATAGCGAGCAGAGTTTTCGGAGCTGGCGAAAATAAGCTGTTGCCAATTGTACATCTATTTTACGCGCCGCCGCGCCAGGCAATCTGATAAACCGACACACGGGGCAACAATGTATTGAGTGCGAGCTCTCAAAACTCCGATAAGGCCGGCTGTTGTCGATATCATGGCCACTGTCGGTACTGCCGCCAGTTTCAATAAGAGACGATGTCGATAGTGTTCCGGCAAGAATTCGTTTGAACACCCCTAATGCATATTCGCTGTCATGATTATACTTACTACTATCACAGTAAAAAAAATTGTAGACCCAGCACATTTGACTAGAAATTAATTTATCAAGGTACAGACTGTTTAAAAGGTTTGTATGTGGCAGCATAAGGCAACTGTATGTCATTGCAAACTAACCTACATCGAAGTATACCTATTCAAGCAAAATGAGCCGATCAAAATGGGACAGGGATGAGACTGTTAAGGGTTGTCCATCAAAATTTGGAGGCGCTACTTCTGTTTCATCGTCCTAGATCGCGAAAAGAGAATCGAATAAGTGTCTTTTGATACTCAGTTCGCGATTCATGGTGATCAAAAAGTAAAAGCTCGCTATTCTCTTAATTTTAATGGGTAACTCTCAACAGTACCATCGATGTTCCATTTTGATTGGGGAAACGTTGCTTTATACGAAACGCATCCTTTGTATAAAGAAATTGATAGCCACCTAAGTTGTTTATAAAATGAACAAAAACTAATAGATCCTTAATGTGAAATACAGTCAAACTGAGCAGAGAAAGTCTGACCCGCCCTCATTACGCAAACCCTGGGCATAGCTGAACAGATAAACCTTAAATTATCGCAGGTGTTAAAGAGGGAAATTTTACAATAAGAGATTTGAACAAAAAGCTAGAAAGAGAACAAATAAAGAGCAAGACACCGCAACGCTATGATTTGTAGTTAAGACTATTCCTGCGTATGGTCTAAGTTTCAGGCAAGGCGCTCCATCCTCCGCAGAGATCTTCACTTTGTTCCTGAAACACGGCAGATGAGTTTGAGTTAACACCCGGGGACCCACGAAACATAATTGCATCGTTATTGCGAAACTTGAGATCTGAATTCCCTACTCCTGTTCCTTAAAATTTTATCATCGAATGAACTCATTTTGCGATGAGGAACCGCTTCTTTCGTGTACAAAAAAATCACTTTATCTCCAAAAATACCCCCCCCCCAAAAAAAAAAAAAAAAAAAAAAACTTATGCGTTGCCCAGTCTCACAATCAGCCTCGAATTGACTTAAGGAAACAACGCGTTAATGTGCATAAAAAATCAGCGGTAGATACGTGGCAATGGTGTGATTAGACCGCAAGGTGTGACCGGGACATCCAAAGTGGATGACCCGGCAACGCGCGTTTAAATGGGGCTCAAAATACCCAATTTTGAACTAGATTTTCGTGGGTTAATATTGCTCAAAAAAATGTTTGGGAAATTCCTGTGGAATCAGTGCAATACACAGATAATACTTCAATAGCTACACTGAAAAAAATGAGTTAGCGTCAGATGACTAAAAATGGTTTCTATACACTAACTCAAATTGTGTGATTTGGACACACATGATTTTTGGTTTCTGTGCACTAACCACTATTAGTGCTGGAAACTAATTCCGCTACTCTAATTCGCATTCGGTAGGGTTGGGTCAACCTAACCTCAAAACTGAGAGAGGAGAAAACGGCTTAGCGAATGATAACTGGACAATACTTTCAGGAAAAGAAGATTTCTTAAAAGATGAGAGGTTAAAATCAACTGACCGGTTCCAAATGAACGACAGAGGAAAGGAATATCCCATAGGTATGTGCAAGTAGACAGAATTATCCTTTAGAGAGACACACACTCATACATGAAACGGTAGCGAATGTTCACACTGAATAAACATATCTCGTCCGAACACTTTTTTTTTTTTTTTTTTTTTTTTTTTTTTTTTTTTTTTTTTTTTTTTTTTTGAGAGCTTGCGCACTCTAGGTATAGTTCATTGGCCTTAGTCGTGTAGACAAACAGCCACCGCTAGATGATGGGAAGATTACAACAACAGTAGAAACAGAAGTACAAAAGGAAGAAACGAAGAGAAACATCCATGCCACTCCACGGTGACAAGATCTGAGATCATCAAATCTTGCCACCGAGGCCGGGATTCGAACCCGGGACATCTAGGTCTGTGATCAGTTGCGCTAACCACTGGACCAACCGATGTCGGCGTCCGAACACTTGAGATATTCTTTTGAAATTACGGGAGAACACGAACTATAGAAGTAAGCAGTAAGTTCACAGATTTTCGTAAAAATATAAACTGAACGCGGAACGCTTTAATCGCAATTTAATATAGAAGATTGACGACTCCAACGAATATCATGCTTGTTTACGTTTTGAATTGAACAGACGATTTCTAACCTTAACAGGTTTATTTATGTTGCTTTCGAACGTTTTCAAGAAAGAGAGGACACTATAAATCATACCAGGAGTATTTACATTGTCAAACGAGCCCGAAATTTCACATTTTAATTTATTTTCACGAGCTGACGCGATTGAGGCTGTTGTACCGACGCCACTTTTTCGAAACTAAATAAATGTAACGGACAATGTGGCAGTTAGTGTTGAGGGCGAATTAGTTTGACCCGAAGGTGAATTTGTCTTACCACAGCGCTAATTTTACAGCTAGTGCTGTTTTCCAATTCTGGTTCGCGCTCTAGTAAAGTCAAGTCAGCGTATGAAGCGAATTGATTGGTGCTTCAGTACAATAAATTAGTTCTGAAGCCTAATTTTGATTCTACTTGGCGAGAACCAACCAAATTAGTTCTCAACGCTAACTACTTTTTTTTCAGTGAAAAATCAATATATTTAAGTACAGAATGATTTGACCCGACTATGAACTTGGCGGATAGAAAATGGCGAACTAGGCGTTTAATGGTTAAGCGCTGAACTTCTCATTTACGAGAGAGGAAAAATTGATAAAACTATAGTCATGCTCACCCAAAACTGAATCCAGAGTTCACACTGCTGGTATGAACGAACATTGTATCAGGGAGGGCGAACGCTGATCCTTTAGCGCAAACTTCTTCACTTTCTGACCCGAGATTCAAAATCACTGCAATCTGCTCAGTGTCTAGAGATCTAGAGGTTCAAAAGAATATCATCATGAACAGTTGTTTAATATCATGTCACTGGAATATTGTTAATGTCATTGGAGAAATCAAAAATAGGGGAATGCATGTAAATAGTCCACATCTTTCGATTGTAAAGTTGAATGTTGAAAAAGTTATCTTCCAGAATGTTCATAACTTTCAATATTACGATGACACCCGTTTCGTTTTGAACCCTTGGAATTCTCCGCACATTTCGTCAACGATTTTTTGTCCGCACACCTGTTTTGCCCAGTAGTTTACATCCACGCGTAAAATAGGCGAAAGTGACTTGTTGCAAGCGTCGTATTTTAGTCCGTTTGTAAAATTATATTGACAATATCGAAATGAAAAAATTGAGAGAGAAGGAGGTGTTGTTATAGTAACTTATTTTTTTACTGAAATGGTTCTTTCTTCTTTTGATTCATCTTTTCAAATTGTCATTAGCGAATATTTGGTTTTATTTCCATCCTTGAAATTTTCGATGTACAATATACTTCTTTCTCTTCTTTCTTTTCGGCTCTTTTCTCTTTTTTAATGGAAATGTTACTTTCTTTTAAAAAGATTGAATTTTTTAAAATGTGGTAAATGTTTTAAAAAAATGTATCCAAAACGATGGCGACGGCATAGATATCAATCTCAATGAGCCTTAGTTGTGTTGAAAGGAACATTACAATAACTAATAAAGGAAGAAATAACCAAGAAGCACGCAATTTTTGGTTTTACCCCTTTTGTACATAGATCTTTTAGAGTCAAATACGTCCAATTTTAAGTGTTTGGTTGCATGTAAACGACGCTGCAGGACGGCAAAAGAACAAAATATAAAATTAAAAATGGAAGTGCTTTGGATATCATTAAATTTCACACAGAACCACCTTAATATTTACGAAGCACACAGTACATTTTATTTTAATGTATTTTTTCCTCATCAATTTAAATGAGGACAACCCATGCAGATTGTGCAACCATATCAAAATAATGAGTTGAAAAACGCTGATTCCGAGAGTTCAAATATTAGAGCCGAACGCAGAGCGGAGCGTGCTGCCACCGCAAAACGCGCACTGGCGCCTACAAACCTAAGGGGATACTTCCAGCATTGCGGAATGCGTGAAGTATCCCCTTAGGTTTGTAGGCGCTAGTGCGCGTTTCGAGCTGGCCGCGAACGCGTCTTCATCGAGGAAATGACCTTTAACCGATGATATCGTTCTCCTGTGTAGCACAATGATATGAATCAAAGACATTCTTAATGTGAAATGTTAAGCTCATTTTTCTACATTTTGTAGTAGACGGTACTCCCACAAAAAAATCTCAGTATTAACGAAAAAAGTACTCTTCATTACTAACCACTAACCACATAATTGAAAGGAAAGTCTATCTAACAACTCAACACTCCATTCAGAGGAGAATAATCAAATTAATTGCTTTGCACTTGTTTGGGGGGGGGGGTATACATACCGAGTAAATATGTAAACCCATTCACTATGTACAAATGTTTCGAAATCGCCGTGTTGGATTATATGAGTTTTCCTCAATTTGACGAGGCGCTTGTAGATGTTGAGATGACTGTGGGGGTCTTGCTGCTGGGCTTTCACGTTGATATGATAGTAACTTGGAGTGACTGGGAGCCATGGTTTTTTAGCTGTTGTGAAACCTGAAATGTCAGTAAATAATGTCATATACTATTCGTGAGTTAGTAGTTGTAACAAGACTCTCATCTTCATGCAATTAAATTGCAGTCTACAGAATGGAGACATTGATGATTTTTCTGTCATGAAACCGCGAAGAGAGCAATAATCCCAGAAATACAATTTGAGGAACCGGACAATCTCGCTCTCAACGGCACGGTTAGCTAGTGAGGGAGGCCAAACGTCTTTCTCGGACCCTCCTAAAAGTTTCCTCGGACTACCTTTAGATGCCATATTTTGTGTCAAAACTATATACGATATATCGCATCGGTTGACTCAATTTTTTCAGCCACTCGTCATTTTTCTCGAATTTTGAGATCGCAATTGAATCAGTAAGAACGAAAATACACCAACTCGAAAAAATGAAAATAATCAAGACACATACACAACTGCACAGAAGGTGAAGTTAGTCTAAGAAAAAGATTTTTGGTGCCTTAAGTAAGTACTTATGAACACTTTAAAAGTCCAATTTGGAACAGATGCTTAATTTCAATGACCTTTATGAAACTGACTGTCTCCAATGAAAATTGAGCATTTTACAATTACCGAGTTGGTGTGTTTTCGTTTTCACTGATTCAATTTTTTTTGAGGGTACTAAAGAATTCACTCACCAAAGGCAAAAAAAATGCAATGTAACAAAGGTGGGGTTTTTTTAAAGGAAAAATATTGCATTCGAGTGCAGTTTCGATATGAGTATCCAATGCGATATTTTTCATCTAAAAAAACACGCCGTAATTTTTACCTTCACTGCATTCTTGGTTGATAATAACCTAGACTTTGCTCAGAAATTGTAGTGTTCCTCACCGGCGTTGTCAGAGTCATCCCATATCATCGGATTCCTAGAGGCGTCCCGGGAATCGTTGTCATCACCGGTGGCGCCGGCGCCTGGTTGTTTATCCTGCCGTTGGTCAGGGCGAACTTTGATGTCTGGCATTCCGATCTCTGTGCCGTAATACATGGTCGCGACTCCGGGTAAGAGAAGGGTCAGCATATTCATCGCGTCCACACTCTCCGGGGTGAACCTCGTGGTCACTCGATGATTGTCGTGGTTGTCGAGCTGCGAAACATTTTCATATATTCTTAGATGATTAATGTAGAAAAAAACTACTTAAGTAGCAGTAATTGCTATAAGTTGCAATTTGATGAGAGAATGCATTGCGATTTTATCGACGTTGATTTTATCGCAATATTATCGGATAAAACCTCGGAATAGTTGCGATTTCATCACAAAAATTTGCAGTAAAATCGCGATTTTACCGACGGAGATTCATCGCAATATTGTAAAACAAAAATTCGTGATAAATTAAAATAAAATTTCTAATTTATCGAACGCGGTTTCATTGAGTTAAATCCTACTTAGGTATTTGCCTTCGCCTATAAGACTGCTAGACTTTCTGGAAATTTGAAGCGTTGGGATTGCATTTTGCAGAGAGAAACCAACATGCACTCTTTCACAGTTCACTTAAATGATCTCAAATAAGATTATCGAAAATTTCGACGCGATGTTTTCTTTCGTTATATTTTCTTATAATAAAAACAAAAATTAAATATCATCCGATTTTCTGAAGCGTTACAATGAGCATACATATTTTCCCTTTATTTATGTTAAAAACTAAAGCAGAAAGTCAAGCATGATGACACGCAGACCTACAGCATTTCTACAGTCTTGTAGGCGCTAATATGCGTTCCTCACCAAGTGACCGACTGCACTGCGTTAGGCGCAATGCGAGAAGTATTCATGCGGTCTTGTAGGCGCTAGTATTGGCTTTACGCCGACCGCACTGTTTGGCGCGATGCGTGAACTATTCCTGCAGCCTTGCAGGCGCTAATATACGTTTCACGCGGCCGCATTGTAATTCGCGCGGTTATTCGAATGCGCGGTAGAATAATGGGGCATCCAAAAATGGAGCTCAACGTGGCCTTGTTTCTCAAAATTAAATATTTCTCCTAGAAAAGTTAGGAAAGTTCTTTATACCCACGACAATTATTTAATCTTTTCACTTTATTTATCACCAGAAGGTAAGATATCGATGAATTGTCAACAAACTAACCTAAACTAGCATTAACATTAAAATGCGTTCATTTTCCAACTGTTTCTTGTTTTGTCAATATTCTACCTTTAATTAACTTCATTTTAAATTCGCACATTCCTGTAGCACATGTTAAGATTTCTATCCGCGGAATCTTTGTGCCTTCTACGCGCAATCTTCGTACATTTTCTTAGACCTTTCGTACAATCTTGGATTACCGCTAAAAACTCTGCATCATTAACGGAAATCTTCTTCTTATATAAAGTTATACGATTTACCCCGCGACCCTCTGAACATCGGTCCCCGCCACGCCGTCCCAGCGCGTCCCGCGCCCTTGATGTTCGTTCGGCGGACCCCCGGCGGCCGGGTCTTCGTTCCCCCCGCGGGTTTTCCCGTTCCCACCCCCAGGGGGGTTGCTACGGGCCCCGGGGGTGGTTCCGTTTTTCGCCCGTCCCTCGGCCTGGCGCGCGTCTTTCCGGTCGCGCTTCCACGTGCGGTCGCGTCCCGGCTATCGGCTCCTTGTCCCTCCGGCCGTTTCGTTTTTTTGCGCTTCCGGGGGGCGCGGTGCCCCTCGGACCGTTCCGTCGGCCGATTCCTCGTAACGGTCACTTCGTACCTCCCCGTTCGTCCCCCGGGCTCGGGGTTCCGGCTGCGGACGGGTCCTACTGTGCCGACGTCCGATAAGGTCGGATTTCGGATCCGGCGACCCGGGAGGGGCGCTGGGGCCCCGCGACCGTTTTCGGAAAAACCGCCACCGCTCCCGTCACGTTCGGCCCGCGGCCTGGAGTTTCGGTCAGCGGGGGCCCCCGGCCGGGCGGCGTCCCGTCCCCGCTGAATTTTCGACCCCGAACTCCCGGGGTGGGCGCGGTGCCCCTCGGACCGTTTCGTCGGTCGATTCCTTGTAACGGTCACTTCGTACCTCCCCGTTCGTCCCGCGGGCTCGCGGTTCCGTCGGCGGACGGGTCCTACGGTGCCGACGTCCGATAAGGGCGGGTATCGTGATCCGGCGATCCGGGGAGGCGCTGGTGCCCTTCGAACGTTTCTGGGAAATTCGTTTCTGCGCCCTCCTCGTCGGTCGATCGGGGCCGCGTTTTTGCCGTGCGGTCCCTTCATTCGTTGCGCGTTCGGCGGAGCTGGCCTTCGGCCGGCTTTGGCAGGGGGGGGGGGGGGGGCGCCGCGAGTCCCTCCGCGTAGGCGTCGCGGCTACTCTGATGGTCTACTCTGAAACGACGACCGGAGCTCGGTCGCCCTTTTGTTGTATACGGAACGAGCGTTTCTACGGCTACCGTCCCGATTGTTCGAGTGTTGCGGTGTTGCCGGATCTTTCTCAGCGGTCGGAGAGTTCTGTTCGTGTACATCGTGTGGAAACGGGAAATTCCGCAACTGCTCACATATGTTTTTTTTGTCATTTTATTTTTACGTTATTCATATGAAATTTCCATCCTGCGAATTTCCATCGCCAACTGTTTGGTGCTCAGTCGGGAACATCGAGGTTTCCTTTCTGCAGACTCGCCGCACTCCCCACGCGCCGAAGGATTTTCTGTCAACCCTAGCCTTTCGTGCCAAGCAGGAATCTTTTTAACTCAAACCAACTTTAACGCCCTTATTTTAAAAAAGAAAATCAATAATATTGTCACACCCCGCCAAGAAAATCATTGTTGAACAATTTCTGGCAAATTCTCATGGAATATTCACGTTAATGTTTAGGGCCAATGCGGGCGGGACCCCTAAAAATTCGATTTTAAAGTTGAAACTTTGCATGGGGCTTTTCAATGGTCTATAAAGTGATTTCAGACCGGAGGGCACCAATTTTCTAAATTCGTTTTTTGATATTTGTTTTGTATGAAGCTGATTCGTCTAAATTTGAAAATTTCCGAATAGTATCTCAAAATGATGTCGAAGCCATTCACATATTCGGTAGGGATGGATTTGTATGTGAATGTTTCTATGTGATCATTCTTTTTTTATATATATGTTTTTTTCCTTTTGGAATTGCTCGGATTGCGGACGGAAATTTTTCCTTGCAGTATGGTAATGAAAACGTCCTTACGTCATTGCCGTACTTCTCTGCTCTAACATGATTTTTTGGAGTAACTATTTCTACGAATCACCTTAACTAAATAAAGTGCCAACATTTTCAACTATCAAATTTCAAACTATCAAATTTCAAATTATCAAAATTTCCAACAATGACAAAAATGATTAAAATATACCTATAATGTAATAAAATATACACGCTCTAATCATTTAATTTGTATTACCTTTATGTTATGTACGGTCTACATGTTATACTATTTTTGTAATAAATTTTGCCAACATGCTTTTCAATTCATTCTGCAACATTTCATTCCCACGTGGTAATAATGATTTATAATGCCTATCATAATGCATTTAATGCATCCATTATAATGCATTATAATAGTAATGCCGCATTATAATGTCGTATAATACATCGCAACGATTCATGTCCTACTGATTATTGATTATTGTGAGATGAATTCTGTTTTCTCTGATTGTATGTTTCATACGTGCGAAGCACGTACGGGTCGCTAGTATCGTATATAATCCTTAATGGTCGTATCATCGTGGAAATTAAAAAAAATTCATTTTGAAATCATTCTGTCTTACCGCCCAGTTGAAGTAGCCTTGCGGGAAAACGTCGCTCATACTATGAACCCACCAGTCCAACCTTGAGGCGTTCGTTGTGGATGACATCTCAGTCATCGTTAGATAGAGTGGAATTTGTGCCCCTGGAGATGTTGCGTTCTCCAAGTATTTTATCAAGACTGCGGGGCTGTCATAATCCTCAGTCATTAAAATCCTGTGGATCAAGTGGCATGCATTTCAACCAATTTTAAGTTTCGACGGATTTTATATTTTATCCTCGTAAGTGAACGAGCTGATACCAAAATAGATCAGAGTTAAGTAAAGAAATGGTTCTGCGCGAAAGTAAAGAAATCAGTGATTGAAACTGTGGAAAAAAAGAGGTAACTGGGGAACACTTTTGCAAATTCAAATAATGGGTCACCAAGCCATGAACGAATTTAGACCTGCAGATACATTATCTTAAAGCTAATAGACGTGTAAAAAACGACGCTTGCATTAAAATCGTGAAGAAGTAAATCCGAAACCGAGAAACACACCGTTCAGAAAGCGCAACATTTCCGCAAATTTAAAACGCCCCGGTTTAGCTCCGAAGCGAATGATATCATCTGGCGCCAATCAGAAGCGAGCACAGGTTTCTACGACTTCCGTCAAATGTCTCCCTACTACTCGTATATAAAAACAAGAGTAAATTCGAAAGTCCATCTTCAGAAGTAATGAATCGAATCTCATTCAGTTATGTTGTTAGTAAATAAGCAGCAATTCTACAATGAAATAAGTTTTATTTTAACAAACACCAGTGGAAAATGAGCAGACACAGCGATTTAACTGATGCCGCGGTACTTGACTGCCATCATTTTCCCGTCATTCCGGCACGTTTGAAATTTTGTTGAGTCTCTAGACTTTTTAGACTATGTACTAGCGGGTGTTTCCGGCGTTTTGGCTCCAAAAATACACAATATATCTCCACGAAATCTACTCATCTGGTACTTTCAGAATTTTAAATTTAAAAAACGAGGTTTAGTGACCCATTGAAGACAATGAAAAGACCGTTCTTCGTCCCCCCCCCCAAAAAAAAAAATTAAAATACCGTGACTCACCTGGTTCGCCCATCCCTCTTTTTATATTCATTAAGAAGAGCGCCCCAATCTCTGACCAGTCCATAACTTTCCGGTAGCGCCATCGTATAAATGTGATCTAAAGCAAACCACTCATTCGGTACGGTGCGGTAGTCGTGAATTTGAGGCTCATCTTTGAACTGCGAATCCTCGAACACATGCTTCGGAGCGTCCAATCGGAATCCATCACATCCCAAATCGAGCCAAAATTTTACAGCACTCTGCAATCAATCACTCAGCCTTTTACACCTCATTGACTACATTTATCGCATTGGACCACTACGGCACAAAATTAAGAAATACAGAATATGTATTTATTTTCTTATCGAAGTTCTACGGAGAGTAACACTGACGAATTAAAACTTACTAAATTCAACTCATGAGTTGTGTTTCCATTCAGAACCATTGTTTTGGACGTATTTCTGTCAAACGGGACTAAGCGCCATAGGGGGAGGAAGGTAGAGGGGGGCTTGGATTGGCGGCGGAACCGGGCGTCGGGCTCATTCCGTCCTATACTCACAATGCTTTTCCATGGCGCTTAGTTCCGTTTGACAGAACGCGCTATGCGGCATTCTAAAATCATCAGAAGGAACTCAAATTGGCGCTTAGTTCCGTTCGACAGAAAGTCCATTTGATGTGCATATCTTGGAACATTTTCAATTTCTGGCCTTTTTATTTCGATTTGTGTGATTCTGAAATTCCTAATATTTTCTTAGACGAAGTAAAGTTACGAGTCTTTTTTACCAGTGGCGTGAAAATAACGTACCTCTACAGTTTGTCTAGTTTTCGGATCCCGGAAGTTCAAGTCTGGTTGATTTTTTGCGAACTGGTGAAGATAATACTGTTTGCGTTCCTCCCTCCATGTCCATGCAGATCCTGTAAATCGACTAGCCTGATCATAGAGCAAAAGAAAGGGACCAGGTTTTAGAATCACATCAAATAAACCGATGCATGGAAACGTAAAATACAATGATGTGCTTGAAAGGATAAAAATAGATTTGGAAAATTCCATCATACGGTTTTCAATGAGGGTTAAAAATGGAGCATTTTACAACGGAGTAGTCCCTCTCCATAAATGAGACATCGTATTCACGATTGCTTCAAATGTTTCCTGGTCAAAGACACACTGTTCTGTCTCAAGTCCTCCAATATGTTTTTTTTTTCTTTTTAAATTTTATTAAAGTTCTCACTTTCAAGGGTCCTGTCTGAGAGCAGCTCAAGTGTGAAGTGGAGCTCTCAGAATTTTCTTCTCGGTAGACATCTCAAGTCATATTGGAATTTCATGTAAAATACAAGTTTCTTACATAATTTGCAAATTGAGTCATATGCTCTGTTACGATATTTTTCTCGTTTTAGTCATTTTCGCACGCTCATGAGCTGATGAAATTCCAAGTGGAAACTTTTTTCGAGTTTAATTAGAATCGACGAATTTGGGAAGGAATGAATCTCATTAGGTAGGACAACACAGAATCGAACTATCACGCATGCAGAGCACACGTGGAGGATACGATTGTACGATGACCAAATAAGATTATATGCGTGCGAATTTTCACCTTCAGAATACACGATTGCTTCACGGTGCCTCTGAGAGGCTTTTTCAATAATGGTTGAGTTAGACCTGTCATTGATTCGTGTTTGAAAGCTTGAATCATTTAGATAGCAAAAATAAATGTTTCAAATTATCCTATCTCTAATCCTCGAATTTCGTCTAAAAAGATCTTTGTCATATAAACCGTCTCTAAAGAAAGGTCTAAGTAGACGAAATAATGCCTGGGCTGGAGACCGTATGTTTTAGAGATCCGCACTTTCAACAAGTCTGTAACCTTCCCCCAATGTATAAATACCCATAAGTAAAGTTAGACATAGTTCTATGCAAAACCATATCATCAATAAATTATTTATAGTCCACCTCACAAACCACAAGCTAGAAAATTAAATTGATTATAATGCTATCTTGAACGTGCTGTCTCTTTTTAGTGTTTAAGCTACCCCAGAAAATCAACGCGCAGATTCGCCCGATTAATGATGACTTGGGAGTTGAACAATTGGTTTAGCAATTCTAAACAATTTTGTAAAAATTCACTCAGCAAAGTGCTCATTCTGACATTCATCTGTCATCATAAGGCGAAATTAACTTGATTTTATGCTCAAAAAGTCGCTTATCAACCATCACACACTGGAAAAAAAACACATCGGATCTAGAGTCCAGACTCTTAAGAGCATCGGCAAGAAAAAATACTCTTGATTCAATCGGATTTTTGCTTAAATCAAGAACCAAGCCTCTTAGTTGGAGCGGATTTCCTTTTGATTCAAGCAAAAATCCAATTGAATCGAGGGCATTTTTTCTTGTCGATGTTTTTAAGAGTCTGAGCTCTAGATCCAATGTGTTTTTTTTCCCAGTGTAAAGGCGTAGAATAGCACCGACCTCTGAATTTCATTTTTAGCTCACTCGATTACATTTCTTTGAGTGTAAGTGCGGGTCTTTGACATATGTATGTATATTGCCTGCTCTTTCCTGGAATAGACCAGATTAGCATCAATCCCAACATCAAGAAAAAATGAAAGAATTACCCAGTTATTTGGATACGTGGTGTGGGTAGCGTTTATTGGGACGCCATCCTTCCAGATGTAGAAATTAGTAAACGGATCCACCCGTTTCAGCGACAGTTTGAACCACTCGCACTCGTCACTCGAATGATTTGGGACGAAGTCCATCAGAAATTTCATCCCTGAAACCAGACACGTGGTAAAAAATGATGTATACAGCGAATTAAAAACAGAAACTGATAGTATGCATTTCCAAATGATGAGCTATACAAATAATATTGATTAATTTGCAGTCTTTCAAGCAAAAATGACTTATACGGGTAATAAGTAATTGGATTTAAGTTTCCATGTGTACGACGCATGAAAGACGCATTTTTCAAGCATACCACGCATAAGATATTTAAGTGACATTTTTTTAAAACAAATTAATTATTTGTCATTTTTAGTAAAAGTTGCTCTGAATAATGAGTATACCCGTGATGGTAAAGACACTGTATGAACGCTGTCTTATTTAAGATGCATCAATGTTGAAGTTTGTGTTTCCTGTGCGGTATAAAGTTTCGTGTATTTTCTCAGGTATGTGCATGTTATTTCCAAAATCAGAAAATTATAACTTAGCAATCGTCTCGGGTGTTCTATTGTTGTATTTCAGCCCTGTTTCCTGTTTTCTCTCCTTGTTTTCTCTTTTTAAAGCACTATCTTGACACTCTTTAAATGTAACCATGAAACATATTATGCAATGAATGACAGTCATATTGTACTTATTACATTACATTTTGACGGCGAAAGTCCGCAGTCACATATCTCGTTTGCGGTGTCTGAAAATCTCCACCTTAATGTTGTTTTTTTAAAGGAGAACACATTGCTATCAATCCTTGAAGTTTATGCAGAATTTTCTTCGCACAGAGAAGAAGAATCAGGGCAGTTTCAAAGAATTGCCGTTGTGCAGTTTTCCGTTTAAAAAATAAAGTACGACAGGAAGTCTGCGACGTCGCAAACCGAATTATGTGATTGCCGACTTACACCGTCGATTTACGATTTAATTTACTTTTGTATAATTAAAAGACAGCTTCACTCTCAGTGCAGTGTTTTTAACGCTCTGAAAATTCAGAGAATCGTGCCTACCAGGTACTAAATTTTTCACGCGGATAAACACTAACTGGTGAGATTCATCATTGTAATGATACAATATTACGAGAGAAATGATAAATTTGTGGTCATCACGTGACCTAGCGATGCTTCTGCGAAATAAAATATATTGGACCTTATGAAGTCTTTCCAGTCAATGTCGGTATATCCTTTCGATTTAATAAAAGTAGCTGAATACCTCTGTCATGTGTAGCATTTATTAATTTTTTGACGTCGTCTAAAGTGCCCAGTAAGGGATTCACGCCGGTGTAATCTGCAACGTCATATCCATTATCCTTCATGGGTGATTTATAAAAAGGTTGAACCCAGATTGCGTCCACTCCAAGGTCTTGGATATAGTCCAGTTTTTCATAGATTCCTAGACACGCAAGAACAGTAATGGAAAAATTCAAACTGATAATAATCCATTACAGAACAGAGGTATCCCATTCCTCAGTGGTGATAAGGAAGTTTGAAAGGTAGGAGAAATCAACGTAGCAACTTGAGTGGGTTCCACTTAAAGAATGTTCCAACAAAATTGAAAAAGAGTGAGATCCATTCTATCATTTTGAAAATGAGTGGATTACAGCCTTGTCATTACCTAAAGTTAAAACACCTCATTTACTTAAGTGATCATGCCACTTGCCTTATATATATAGTCACTGTGTGTGCAGTAATTCAGCATATATCGTTTTCAGTTCAGCATGTTTTCAATAAGCAAAAGAGATTATGACCCCGATCAAATTCAATTCATTCAAGTGCGTGACAAAAGAATTCATCGAATATCGCCAAAAATACGTTCACTACTCAATTTTTTGCGTGATTATGATGGATTGCAAGTAAGCTTTTGTCTAAAAGCACCAAAAAACACTTATTTATTGTTTTTTGAGGCGTGATAGTCATAAACATTGATCTTGTTTCAGTCATGATGTTCGAAGAGAAGAGAATAAGAGGGAATTTATCGCATTAAAACGTTGCAATTTTTTGCTTGAAAATAGATCCATAATGTAACTCAAAAACTAAAAGCCTGAATGAGCCTAAAATTATTGCCGCAAAAATAACGCTACTGGACACGGCGGCAAAATCGTTTTACTATATTCTGTGAATGAGAGGATGCAAATTCCATTGCAAGGAATCATGGTGGTGGGGGAAAAAAATGTCTCTATCGAAACTACGGAACGGCGCGGCGCAGAGATACAACTATTCGTGCTTGGTGGATGTCCGTGTTGCATATGCAAAATTGAAGGCGCGACGGCGCAAGGCGTGAGCTCTCAATGCTCCACTCCATGCTGCTAATATGAGATGTGGCTCAGATTTGAGAGTAAACTTTAAAAAAAACGTGGCTCAATTACGTCTCTCCTAAATTCGACTGTGTTGAAACTTGATTCTTTAAAAAAATGTCTGATTTTTTTTTTACATTAGGCCACTGGTGTTTACCAAGCTTCGGGTCAATTTGACCCAGTTTGGGCATCTAAGGGCTAAATTACCAAGAAAATGATTCGCTCGTGATTATGAATAGAGAAAACATGTTTTAGGGACCCCAAACTGCTTTATTTATCCACCAAAGTGTTAAGTAATTTGTCCAGCGCACCCAACTTGATTTACATAAACTTGCCAGGCCAAGTGCTCACATTCATCCATCGTCATCAGGAAATAAGGTATATTGTGTGTCCAACAAGTTGCTCATTAATAATTTTTAGATAGAAATAGCATTATCTCTGAACTTAACTTTTGCCTCGGCCGATCAAATAGCTTAGATTATTAGCGCAGGGTCTCTAAAATATATTATCTCTGATTATGAAAACGATTTTTCTCATAGCATGCTCATCATACATATGTGTTAACATAACATTAGCATAACATTGTATTTTTTCGAGGATTGGGAAGTCGGCCCGATGCCTCAATCTCCAACTTGAAGATGAGGATCAGAGTTTGATTTTGGAGTTGCCCCTCCCAGAGACATCGCTTTCGCTACTGCTCAGAATTCTGTATTCCTGTCGGTCAGTTAGCGTAATTGGATTGCATCGTACAATTAGGAACTAAAATTTCAGGCTTATAAATGAAAACACGTATATGCATAGGGACTCTAGTGGCATATATGCTGCTTTTATAATGAGCCAGAAATTGCAATTTCTAATCGCAAAATGTGGTACAATGGCATCTACTCACCATACCTGGTAAACATTCCCCAATCTGTTACGTGGGACACGCTCGCTGAAGGTTACAATACGAATGGCGATTTATGACGGAACAATTTATATGCTGCTATATGTTATGTTCATGTTCAGATAATGACAGGTGACCCGTTGTCGACGATGGTCCTAGATTGGGTTTTTCGTCGCAGAGAGCGCAAAGGGCACTATATGAGAGGTTGGAGGAATGAGCCTCAATCCGAACTGCCAAAGTGCTCATTTCCCGACTGAAAGGTTGTGGTTCGATAGACAGTGGCGGTTAGACGTCGTATAGCACCAGGTGGTGCTATACTGCCGCGCTAGGAAAAAAACGCCTTATAAACTTTCCGACGTTGCCAAATTCCCTTTCACAAAATACAAATTTTCAAGAAATCTGTAAATATTTTTCCTTCGATTTTTCATAGAATATTATTCGCGATCAGATCTAAATAATCGGTAAACTTTAAGAGAAAATATTTATACTTTTTTTTGGAAAGTATTTAGATAGTATTTAGTAATTTAGTGTAGGAAATTTGACAACTCCCGAATGCTTATACGGCGTTTCTCCCAAGCACGACAAAGTAGAACAAAATGTATGCATGAACTCACCATTAATATCACCATATCCATCACCGTCAGAGTCCTTGTACGACATTGGGTAGATTTGATATATGAGACTCGTCTGCCACCAGTCAAGTTCCTTATGAGCCAGCAAGTCACCGGACTGACCCATCAAGATTGTGAAGCAAAGAAAAAAACGCAACATCTTCTGACAGTACAAACAAAGACTTCGATGAAATGTAGAATATCCCCCGCGGTAACTGTGCTAAACCCTGACAATGAAAAAAGTCATGTTGTATAACTTCTCGAATTAGATTCAAGTCAATTTTATGTGCAAGATAATACTATAATAAAAAAAAACCATTGGAGAATTTGCAGGTGTCTAAAATATGCTTAATCGGTGTTTAAGAAGAAACTACTGAGTGAACTGACCACGAGGGTACCCTTCATGAATTGAACAATAATTGGAGGAAATAAGACAAAATAACCAAATCTGCTGAAATGCATGTGTTTAAGTGGGAAATACCGCCAGCTGACGTCATTAGGCGGTGCATTTTCTCACCTTTAAAACTATTTTTATACTATTTACCATGTTAGAAAAAAAATATAAAAAATACTGCGAAATCAACTCTTCAAAGACTTTCAGACGAAGCGATAAAAATTTTCCGCCCATAATGCTCTATTGAAAAATGTATTGAGAGAATGAGCGTTTTACAAGAAAAAAAAAACCTGTAATTACAATTAATAAATAAGTGCTTTTCTACAAAGAGCCCTAATTAACAGTAGCTATAACCAATAAGTGTAATAATTTCACGAACATAGTGATTAAATGATCAGTTAGTGGTCAAAAAAGCATTCTTACTGATTATGTCTACCAATTTAGAGATCATGTGAGATTCCACTCTGGTAAATTGTAACCACAGTTTTTAGGTAGATTTCGAAGAAATATCTACCTATTGCAGACGGTACGACCTCGTAATTTTCGGGGATTCTCGCTCGAAGAGCATCGATCCTGAAACCCTGAGTTGAAAAATGTAGGTCATAAAAAAGTACGATATATATTTAGTTAGTTAGTATATTTTAAGACATTCAGCGTCACAGGGCTAAATGTCTTAAAATATACTAACTATTAACGTCTTTACAGAGAATTTTGAAAATGGGAGTATATACGAAAATTTAGATTTTTAACCCTAGTCTGCCTGAGCCTCTGAACCAACGAGAAAGCCTGAGCGGGGTCAATTTGACCCCAGCTGAAAATCAATTAGTTAGCTATGTTTTTTTTTTTTTCATTTTTTTAGTTAATATCAGTGCACTAACCTTACAGGCCTTAACCATAAAGCATATCAAAGTTTTAAAAAACACGGCGCAGGGTATGCAACCATTTTATCATACACATGTTTCCATGTTTTTCTCAGCATGAGAAAAAAAATCATAGGGCTACTAAATACTGAAAACGAACAAAATCTGAAAAATTTGGCTTGTTTTATAAGTTTCTGAAAAAAATTAAAAAGAGAAAAATGAATACACCTTCAAAGTAAGCTTTTGTGATGCTAAATGGTAAAATATATGTTATAAGGATATCTGACCCCGCTCAGGCTTTTTAGGGGTACTCGTGAATTTTTTGATCTCTCATGCACATTTTTTTTTTTTCCCCTTCAAAATCGTGTTCCTGGGTATTTTTGTAGAGCTATTTGTGAAGGACAAAAAATTTCGTGCATACCACGAGAAATGGCAAAGAGTTGAAATTCCCGTGGGGTCAATCTGACCCCACTCAGGCAGACTAGGGTTAAATTAAGAGAGGTGAAGAGTTTCTGAATTTTGGTAGTAATATTGGGTTCATCGCATGTAAGTGGGTTTGTATTTCTGTTGATTGTAGGGGAGTAGATCTGTGATTGGAGATATCTGAGGGCAGAGCAGTCCATAATTACGTGTTTACAAACGAGATCCGACAGATATAGTAATCGACATCTGCGGTCGTCGCGTGTGCGTGTAGCGAGCTCGCCTTTTTTTCCACCTCGAATTTGTGTGGTAGACTTTATTTTAAATAATGTAGCTTTAGTAGTTTTAACATCTTTTAGTGAACTTCGCGTGGACAATCGTTGTGTGATTTTAACGTCGGGACTTTATTTATTTTGTAATACCTATGTGCGGTTTAAGAAGCAATACCTGCTGAATTGGGCACGGGAAAAAAATGTCAGGGGTTATCCTCTAAAATTGTAGTACTACCCGAATTTGTTGGATGATAGACATATCTAATTAATTGTATTAGAACCGCAACTCAAGTTAGGGTAGTTCCGCAACATTTGGGTTAATTGCCTAATTTATCGGGGCACTACCATAATTAATTGGGGCACTATCATAAGTAATTGGGACACTGCCACAATTAATTGGAAATTTCCAAATCATCCAACAACCTCGTGTTTTTTTTCCGTGGGGTCTCAAGCACGAATCTGTAATGCACGGATTATCTGAAGCAGGGCGGAAGCGCTAAAAGTCAAGTTTCAAGAAAACGTGAAAAAAACACAGATTTCTCTGACAATAATTCACGATCGGAAGAGGAGGGCTGGAGCATTTTGGGAAGAAATAAAATCTTTTTACAATTTTGGCGGGTCATCCCATCTTCCACAAACCCGATCGGCACTGTCAGTTTCAGCAGTACTATTATTATACAGCAACGTAGCATGCGTGTTTTAGGAAATATATGTAATCATATTTTGTGCCCTTGCTCATGGTTTTTATTATCATGAATCACCTTGCGTTGGAGGAAACTTACCCTTCTTTCACGGAGGTGGATATTAAAATGTTAAAAAAAAAGACGTCTGAAGAACACTTTAGGTAAAATTATGCTCGGTAGTAAAACACTTTCACCTTCAAAGAATATCTTTTTGTCGGAGACTCAATTTCTAAAAATTTGGCGTTCTTGCCCTTTCTCGAACAATCCGTTCAAATGCGTCAATAAAAAGCAGTGAAAGTAAATGGATGAGTGTATTTTAACCACAAAACAATATTATTAGTCATTTAACGCTGTATTCTGTCTTGCGCGGGGCTCAAATAATCGTAATGTAATGCTATTTACGTTTTCTATTGACTACTTGTAATGTCTTTTGACTACACACTGACTTGTAACTATAGTGAAATTTTTTAAATGTCCAAATTTCGATTCTCCCACTAAACTCGACGAAAATCGCTCTCCTTAATTCGTTTTTCTCTCATGAGATGGTCTTCTTTACCGGTCAGTTATTTTTCATGACACGTTCCTCCTTGACGTGATGTGCGAGAAATGTTCACATTTTTTTTAAATGCTAGAATAAAAGAAACATGCGAAATCTTACCTCCTTCACTGCAGGTAGTTTAATTAGACGATATCAAATAATTGTGTTTCAGATCCACTTTCAGCAGTGACTCTGCATGGTCACTATATAGGCAATGATTGAGTACTATTAAAAATGTCCTTGCCAAAACCTCTGCTCAGGGAAGTGGTTGTATTTAGAGTAATCCAAATGATGAAATAGTTTGATATATAAAAAAATTTTCTCTCGAAACATTGCACTCGTGTCAAAAGTAGATAGAAAAAGAAGGAGATAAAAAGAATTAAGTTTCTCTGTCGCTACAACTTAAAATCCGGAAAACTCTTCAGATGTGGTTTAAACCTGATCCTTTTAAGTAGCACTTGAAATTTCTTCTCTCTCTTTTATACAAGTGGTTCTTGATCTTGTAATTGCTAATCCGCTGGGAAAATTTTCACCGTCCAGTGAGTCTCACGCATATACATGGTGATTCCTCAGATGGACGTATTTCTGCCAAACAGAACTATGTGCCTTTAGACATGAGCCCTGAGACCCATAAGAATATATGCGTAACAGGGCTCACGGAACAATGCACTTAGTTCCGTTTGGCAGAGACACGTCCAGATAATGAACCTTGGATCCGAATAATCTGTATTTTGGGATGCTCTACAAACATGAATGTAGCGCGTCCAAACTGTTCATACGAGTTCAGGCGTCCGATTGTGTTTCGAAATAGATTGTCTGATAATTTATATAACAAACGCGTAAGTTTCTATTAGAAATTTTGCATTTTTTTAGTGAGAAAAGCTTGGAAACACTCTGGAATGCAATTCATGAGTCGAAACTTCGCAACATTATATTATAGTTGAGAAAAACGAACAAAGGGCTACCTCACTAGAAGCAAATACATTTTTACTCTTAGCGTTTTTGCTTGCACTGAATTTTTTCAAACTTATCAACAGTAGACGGTCATACTTGTTGTCCAGGACTAATTCATTAAAACGACTCGAAGGACCATTATGTCCAGGACTAATTCATTAAAACGACTCGAAGGACCATTATGTTGGGGCCTTAATCCCTAGTTTAATTTAAAGATGAGAAAAGCTACCAAGAGCGCGCGGGCCTGGCTTCAGCTCTCTTGAGCTGGGGTTCCTAACTAACACCGGGCTCGAACCGGGGTCCCTACTCTGCAGTTCACCGGACTAGCCGGGGTCCCTAAACTACTCTCCGGGCGAACCGGGGTCCCTATCTAAACTTCTCCGGGCTAACCGGGGCTTATGAAGTAATACACCGGGCGTACCGAGGATTTACCTGTGACACCGGGCGTACCGAGGAAACCTTACCTTGTGAGTACTAAAATGCCGGGCGCACCTTGAAGCTGTGGAGCCGTAGATTGCTGCTAGCTGAATGGTGATGAAATGGCACATGTAACGGCGTGCACCTAGGACCTGGGTAAATTGGTATCCCGCGCCCGGCATAAGACGTTGGAGAACAAAAAATAATTCTGAGAAAATAACTTAAACACCTTTAATCTTGAAACCTTCTTTGCTTTATTTACATTTATTTACAACTCTGGGAACCAGACAACTTATTATTTTCCTTTCGTAAACAAAATAAAATGACCTTAATAAAACTTAAAACATCTTGGCGACGCGAGCGCTCTCTAGGGCAGCGCCGCTGAAGCTGGCCGCGGCCGGCGTCGCGGCGCGATTAGCTGTGCGTATTGGCTGTGCGCTAGACGGCCCGGCGCGGCAGCAGAAATTACGCGCTAGAGGCGCGTACACTTGTGCTTTCGTGATTGCGTCTTGCACACACAAAAAACGCATTTTCAGGTCAGAAATTGGCTGAAGAGGGCGGCACTTTACTTAAAAGAACTGCGTTTTCATTGGCTTACTAGGGGGGATAATGTCACTTACTGCTGTTTTCTCTGTAACTACGTCATTTAAGGCGCACTAACGGCTTTCTCTTATGCCTCATTTGCATGCAATTAAGATGAATAATACTGTTTTAGCTCGATTTCGAGAATTTGACACTTCGACGGTGAAAGTCGGCAATCACATAACTCGATTTGCGACGTCGCAGACTTCCTGTCATACTTTATTCTTCAAACGGAAAACTACTCAACGGTAATTCCTTAAAACTGCCGTGATTTTTCTTCTATGTGCGAGGAAAATTCTGCAAAAACTGCAAGGAATCATGTCCATTTGTTCTCCTTTAAAAAAATAACATGGTTGCGGAGATTTTCAGACACCGCAAACGAGTTATGTGATTGCCGACTTGCACCGTCGACTTACTGCTGTCTTCGCTATCATTGCAGAACGGGAGGGATCTGGAAGAGTATCCGATTTATTCCTGGTTGGCAAGAGAGAAGTGGACGTATTTATGCTAAAAGGAACTAAGTTACACGCAAACCCTATGCACTTAGTTCCTTTTAGCATAAATACGCCCAGTTCACCTCCATCGTTAGGTGCCTCTAAAAACAACACAATGCCGATGGCGAAACTGCAGATATGCGGAATCCGGCGTTGCAGATTTCCTAACATACTTCATTTCCAACATGGAAAACTACTAAACGTCATATTTCTTTAAATCCCAGTGATTTTTCTTCCCCATGTGAAGAAAATATCAACAATTATGAATGGACAATTCAACAATTATGATTTCCTTTTAAAAAATAAAATATCAGCGAAGATTTTGAAACACCACAACTGAGATACGCCTTCTTGCAGTTTTACTGTCGATACTTACATGATGGCTTGGTGCACAGTTCAGATTTGGATGTACATATTTGAATCAGTGAGTTCGAAAACACACCAACTCGGAAAAAAAAAAATTGTTCAGGAAACACCTAAAACTGCGCATCGGGCGAAGAAGTTAGTTTAAGAAAAACCTTTTTGGTGCCAAAAGACAAGTACTTAGAGACTTTGTAAAGCACCAAGTTGAAATCGATACACCATGTTTGATGACAGAGAATTGATTTTTCATAGTCTGCCCTGAAAAATGTATATTTTTCGACCTGAATAACGCTTGAATATTCATATAACTTGTTGGTACAAGGTATACTGAACCGAAAAAAGAAAACCGCAAAATCGGATGGTCACCCGTTTCCCTTGAGATGGTCAAAAATTGGTATTTCCAATGAAATACTTCGATTCTTCCATTTTCCCGTCGCTGTTTCGAGCACTTCCGATTGCAATTTCCAAATTTCCATTTGCGTGCAGATGCTTCTATCTATAAGTGTTACGAAACCGTAAAAAAGTGAAAATCGGAAAAAACCCGAGTTGGTGTGTTTTCGAACTCACTGATTCATTTAGAATAGATTCCATTATTTTTAGTTACATTTTCCAAACAACACTTCAAAGTTTTTTAATCGAAAATTTTAAGAAATAATCGACACGCTTGTTATTACGTTTTATGTGCTGTTTTTCATTAGCTGTTTTGTTTTATGTCTCCGTAAGGACGCGAAGAAATCGTTAAAATGAACAAAACCCCAAGCCAAAAGAGTCATTGACATCTTCATCACCGATGAAATTTTGTGGCTACGGAATTTTGTCGGAATTCGAGCAAGGATTTCAAATTTTCAAAATTTTTCGAAATTGAATGGAGGTACCGAAAAAGTACTGAATTATTCTGTGAAGGAGGTACTGAATTTCCTCGGGAATTTACTGATAAAAAATTGTCTCGCCGATTGGGAGAAAATTCTTTATTATTCAGGCAATCATTTAGTTAAAAAGATATACTTTCTGCTTCACGAGAAATTATCATGATAATTTCTTTTGGCTGATTTTGGCACCAGCCAGCAGCAGTGTAGTCACACCACCTGAGGTATGGTTGAATCAACCAGAAATGTGGTTCACTCAACCATACATCTGACTACTGTTACTACACTTCAGGCTGGGGCTAAAATCAGCCTGGAATATAGTTTAAATTATTATACTTTTATCGGTGTTTGCGGGCATACATATAAAAGAGTAAAGACTTTTCGTTAAAACTATTCAAAAATAGTCATGAATTAACTATAACTATAATCATAAACCATAAAAGTGTCCATTTTATGAAGTAAACTTATTATGTCTAGAAGAATCTAAATGCTCATGCAACTTGATTGGGAGCCCTTTAAGCGCAATGGTTAATGGTTAAATGCGCATAATATGTCTAACTGCCTCTAAGCGGCCTCTACGCGGCCTCCCACCGCGAACCGAGAAGAGGAGTAAGAAAATTTACGAGGAAGAGCGGTCCAAAATTTCTTTGCTACAATGGAGACTTTGCAAACGAAAATTTAATTGCTTCATCTGAAAGAGCTTAATAAGCTGAGTTCGTAGTATTTTTTATGATTTTTTCTGAAATGGGAAATTGGAGAAAAATAGATTTAAAAGTGAGAAAATATGCCGTCTTGTGACGTCATCTAGCGACATTTTTCATTTAAATACATGTAGTTTGGCAGATTTGATTATTCCGTCATATTTCCTCCATAACTGTTCAATTTAGAAACCAAGGATATCCTCGTGCTCAGTTTTTTTAGCAGTTTAATTTTAAACATGGAATTTAAAAAAAAAATCAGACACTTGCAAATTCTCCATCGTCCTTATTCTTAAAGTCCTGGCTCATCAGATGAACTTATCATGACTTGTGAATGCTTCTTGCGCCAAAGCACAAGATCCGACAGATCGCCCGCAATATTTGTGTATGCAACACGCACGATCATCAAGCAGAAATAGTTGCATCACGGCGCCGTATCGTTGTTTATGCGTTTGTCAGTTGAGGGATCAAGTAAATGCAACTATTCAAGTTATATTCATTGTCAATAATATTCTTAATTTCTTTTAGAGTGATGATGCGATGTACACCGGAAAATACATTGGTAAACATGTTTTAAATCTTTAAAAACAATTGTTTTCGATTTAAAGAACAATATTTTGACTCAAAAACATGCTTTCTGACCTGGAGAAATATTTGATATACTTTCAGAATGTTCTTTCTACGTGAAATGTATTTATTTCAATTCAAATGATTTTTTCTTCTTTTTCTAAGTTGATAAAACTGAACGTTACGCATTCTATCATATAGCCCACTTCCTAGTTTTCATATATAAGAAAAGTATTTCAGAATTTAGAATGCGTATTGTTTTTTCTCACTTCAACTTTGACAGTCTCTGTGTGGCGATTCGCGCGTTGCTCAAGCGCGTGGATTTGAAGAGTGGTATCAGGTGGTTAAGTGGGTTTACAAAGCGGTGGAATTTTACAAGAGAGAGTGGCAAATCAAAGAAATTTTGTCATTTTTCAAGTGGAGAGATATGCTTGGATTGATCAAATATTGTCTCGTCAAATTATAATACTGGCCGGTTTATTTATTTCATATAATTTTAAAATAAACTTTAGTTCCTCTATTTTCAGCAATACTCGAGGCTGGTTGTTTTGAATAGTCATATTTAAAGTTTTAAAGTCACGCTGTATCATAGTACGTCTTTTTATCTTAAAACTTACAAGTTATAACTTCAATATTCACTAAAGTTCGTTTGCTGGTGATAACAGTGCAGTAATAACAGGAAAAATGGCTCTGTTGGTCAATGACCTGAAGTATTTTTTCTGTAATACGAAAAAATAGGATGCTATTATCTTAGGTAATTTGGTGCTTTTTCCTCATTATTTCAAGAGTCCATTTCTTTGCTCGTGAAGGATAAGAAGAACAAGCGAAGCACATCTTATCCCTGGCCTTTAGAGACTTGTGAGATAGACGTTGAGATTCAACATTTTTGTTGACATACAAATTTTGATTAGAGCTACATAAATTATTGCGAATTTTTTGCCTAATATGATGCTGATGCAGTTAAAAGATATACCATTGTTTTTCTGCGAGAAAGTGCAAGACATCTCTGAAACAGGTCCATATTTGATTAGTACTACCGCATTTTATAGGCATATTGCTTTTCTCTGCATTCACGTGTGCTTGTAGAGATGTCAATGAACTTCGCTTTAACTATGAATTGCGAACATAACTCATTCTCCTTCATAGAAAATAGTCAAAATACTTAGTGGACTACTAGACAAGTTGATTCGATTTTTAGCTGTGCCATATCGATTAGCTTTTAAGCCCTCCTCAAGATCTTGGACTCAAGGAATTTTTCCGAGGGGGCACTTCAGCCACCGATGAAAAATATATTTGATCCAGGAATGACCTACTTGCGAAATTTAATATTTAGTCAGATATGATCCCGCATATCAAACCATTTGCCACTTCGAAGGAATTAGGGTCAAAGATTTTGTCTGGTCACATGCGCATATTTGAAATTATTCGTCGAGTACAATTCATTTGATGATATGTGAAACCGGCGATGCCTGTGTTTCACGAATAATTGCAGAAAAAACCGATATTTCGACGTACTTATGCAAAAAGGAACTGTGTAAAAATGTATCGAATAAAACGAATAAGTATATTGCCATGCATTTTATTCATGCATTTCAATTTTTAGAAACAAGTAAAATTAAAAGAAAAAGCAATCGGAATGTTTTTAAGAGGATGCATTTGACTAGCTTGCTGGATTGATGCAAAAGTGACGTCTCTGCGTAATATCGTTTTAAGGTGATTCGATGGACGCCATATTTTGTGTCAGAACGGCATGGGATATATCACATCAATTGGTTCCATTTTTCCAGCTACTCGTCATTTTTGTACAATTTTGAGATCGCAATTCTGTTGTCAGGAGACTAAAGCACTCACTTAACAATTTTAACAAAGATATTCAACGTACTAAAGGCGTGGTTTTTTTTTAGAGAGAACACATCACATTCGAGTGCAGTTTCGATATCAGTATCGAATGCGATGTTTTCTCTCTAAAAAAACCACGCCTTTAGTACGTTGAATTTCTTTGTTAAAATTGGTAAGTGAGTGCTTTAGTCTCCTGACAACAGAATTGCGATCTCAAAATTGGAGAAAAATGACGAGTAGCTGAGAAAATGGAACCAATTGATGCGATATATCGCATGCCGTTCTGACACAAAATATGGCGTCCATCGAATCACCTTAAGCCCTAAACCTTTTTCCCTATACATCTGGTCATTATTTTTTGAAGTGTAAAGTTTATGCATGGAAGTAGGAGAGATTATGATTCTTCACCAACATCTTTTTCCGACTTGAACTGCCTCCGAAGAAGGAACGAGCCTACTAACACAACTACGGCTGCAACGACACCAAATGCAACCCCGACTACAAAGTTCATACTGGTCGTGGTCAGGCTCAGGGTCTCAATGATGCTCGTTTTTGTGTCTTCTTCGGTCGGATACATCGATTGAAGACTAATCACAATGTATGGGGGCTGCGTAAAACTTCCAGTGCCGACATCAAGCGACTTCGCATGTCTTGTTATGCCAGGTAAAGCCACCTTAAGAGTACCATCCTCCTTCACTTCAACCTTTCGTTCCATCCCATCAGAGCCCACACATGTTCGGCGACCATGACAGTAAAACCCAGTTGCTAGATCGCAATAAACTCCCGCTGGTAGAGGAACCTGTTTGGATGAGACAGCACAAAACACGCATAAGCATTCAGTTTAATTTTAAGAGCTGATCATTTAAGCGTCTGTCACAGGCAAATATAGTGAAATCAGGCATTTTGTCAAATGCCTAGGCAGATAGTTTTTTGATGGTCTGCAAAATCTAGTGAATTCATGGCGAAGAGCTCACGGATTTGCAATCATTTTGTGGACATAACTCATCAAAGCTACGAACTTTTGTCGCTTTCTCTTTGATTGCTTCTCATATTTTTAAATGTTGAAATTCTACAAATTCTGTATTTTATGAAACGCTGAAAATTTTAAGATAAGTGTCTGGTCAAGAGCTAAAAATTGTTTAAAATACTATTGTGTGATGCAAATTTTTACTGAGAACTTTTTCTTACAGGATCAATTAATTATTTTGTCTAAAATTTGGAAAAGAATCAGAATTTCAATCTAAGTGAGAATATTTGACTATTTGCCGACGCATTTGAAAAAATGCCTGATTTTACTATTTGCCTGCGACAGCGTCTTTCAGTGAAATAAATCAATTACTAAACTTCCACGCATTTTATGATACCATACTTTTGAGAACGTGAAATCACATTGAATACATATAAATGATAGAAATCAAGTTATATAATAATTATTTTGTACATTATATGTGAGATCAGATTGCTTTTCAATGGGAATTATATGTGGCATGGTCCGATGTTTGAATAGACACTTTGACGAGGACCATGATAGTTCATTTGTCATTTTTACGAGGGATCCTTCTGAAAAGTTAGCTATATATAAAGTGAAAAAAGGGAACAAGATGCATAAAATAAATAATTGATGATCAAAGCGAAAATTGACTTTAAAAAGAATAATTTCCTTTTTTTTTAATCTAGAGACGCTCTTTAGAGGGCTAAGTAACAAATTATTTACAAATGAACTTTTCAAGCTCTCAAGCGCTCATGCAAAAAAATCGTCAATTTTAAAATCCTAGCAACATTCCAATAATGTGTTAAGATTGGTGCGCCTAAACTTAGTGCAACATTACTCGTCACTTAGTAGGAAAATAAAGTAATCATAATTTAACATGAAACACGATCCTCAAACTTCACCTGAAATGTGTGGTGAAGTGGTTCCGTGTCTGCGTTAAAAACAGCAAAACCTTTTTGTCCTCGAGTGAATGCGGCTTGGTAAGGTGTTCCATTGGGCCATTCACTCCACCAAGATTCCACGGGTGCGTCTGGAAAAAAAAGTTAATCAGGTGAAATTTGTAAGTGGAACCAGAGGGATCAGGGATACATTGACCACAAAAGCGCACCATACATTTGCACCGAGGGGTCATAGAGTACATAGAGTCGTAATGTAAATGGGAGAGCTGGCGCCATGTTCTGCTCGACGAGTTCCGAGCCCGGTGTGCGCACGAGTTCGGGTCACTTTTTCGATACATGTTCGATCCAAAATGGCGCTGTGGAATACGTGGTGATTCCTATCCTCTTTGTTTACATCGGATGGCCGGGTACCCGTGTATCGCAAACTATCGATTATGTATCGAAAAAGTGACCCGGCGTCACACAGGAGTCTCGGAATTCGGGACCTGGAAAATGCTTAAAAGTGGCGCCAGCTCACCCACTTACATTTCGACTCTATGTACTCTATGCGAGGGGTTCATATCCATGACGAGCGTGAATTTTCCCTCCTTTCCAGGTTAATTTTTGTCCGATTTGCTAATATTTTCTATTACGAGTGTTTTAATATCATTTCCATGTTCCTACCATCTAATTAGGTAAATTAATTTTTTACATGAAAACGGCTGTGCGGATTTTTGTGCAAATTTAAGTGAATTTTCTGCATGGTATGCAGCAAATTCCTAGGCACTTCCAAAGGAATCCGCACAAACGTTCAATTGTAAAAATATTAGATTGTCCAGTTAAATTTGGCAATAGTTGAGTGGCACCGTTCCTTTCTGCTAAAAGTGGTCCAATTATTTTTGCTATACCTATATTCGTATTCAATCATTCTTTTTTAAGCGGGGGTTTGTGTGTCAAATCTACAGAATCTTCTATTCGTTTTTATACATGAATGATTTTCACTAACAGAACAAACATTTTCTGAATGAATCTGTGAATTAAAATACCTACCTTGCACGAAATTGGTAAAATATTTGATGATCCATAGGAGCGATTTATATCTATGATCGCACATCCATCCATCGGTGCAATTTTGTGGCGAAATGATATTGAACCACCGATCTGATGGAGGCCCAATAGCCCCCTCAGTGACTGCATAACTATAACCTGAGAAGATATTTGGCGTCTCCCGTGAAAACGTCAGCATGAAAGAATTGATTGCCTGCGGAGTAATTATTACTTGTTGAGTTAGAAATTACATTTAGGGCAGAAAATTCAAGTAGTTAGCATTCGCAGAACTCAAATATTATGTCGCCACCTTCCGGTCAAAGTATAACAGGCGCCATACGACGTTTAAAAATTTCCGCCGCCATTTTATTTTTTTAAGAAAAATTGTTGGTTGAATCTGTTTGAAAATTTGACTGATGTTTATCGGCGGCACAAAGAAAATTCTGTGACATTTTTGGACCACTTCGTTGAATAATTTCGCGGTAAAAAATAAAATGGCGGTGGAAATTTTTAAACGTCGTATGGCGCTTGTGAGAATTTGACTGGAAGGTGACAATATGGCCTTCAGAAAATTAAAAAAAGCAGCCGTTATGGTTCATTGCTTGTTTCGAGCTCTACGCCGAATCTTACAACTTGTAAACATGCCGATATTACACTCAAACAATGATTTTATTAAATTTTACAGTGTCCAATTCTTACTCAAACTTTCTCTCCAACTAATTTATTTACAAGTTGGGCAATGTAATTTCAGTGTAAAAAAACGATACTTAGCTTTATTTCATGGATATTTCTTAATAGATACAGGGCACGCGCACGCCGGTGCGGCGCAGCGATACAACTAATGCTGCTCAATAGTTGTCCGTGTCGTATCTCAAATAATTGAAGGCGCTTTACTTTTTTCAGCGTCTATGAAAAAATGTGACGGGCCGACTCTGGTTTCTCTGAATTACGAACGAGGCGATGCTGAAGTAAATGAAAGAAGGTACCATGAGGGTTTGTTTTATCGGTCATTGAAACTTCCCATGTATCGTGAAGATTGATGATGATACGTACATGATACATACACATATTATAACATATCGTGATGATGTTCCCATTGATGATTTCATTCACCACGCACTTTACACTATAACCTGCTTCACGACAACATGAATTTACAATTTAAGGGAAAAGGAAGATATTATGAGGGGACGGGAGGTTACGAGAGGATGCAATACCTTAATGAATGGCATCATTGACCTGTGACCTCAATATTCGAAGGGCAGCTCATCTCGGTGAAATAAACTCCGGTTTTCAATACTAGATTTTTAACAGTTTATTTGACGCCTTCGGTTTAATTTATTATGGAGCGATATCCCCATCATCATGAAATGGAAACCGTTGATAATAACTTTCCGTCAATACCGTATTATTTCATTTGACGGAAACTTCAAAACACCTTTTTTTTTTACGCTAGAACGACTTGAATCTAGAATATTTTTCCCCCTACATTTTTTTAGCCAATGAGCGTCCTGCGCTGCTGTCGAGTCTATCATAGTCCATTTCACATTTGTGCATGTGAGGGCTCATCTTATAGCGTGATGACTTAGTTTCAGCACGAAATTATGATGAAACGCCCTAAAGTCCGTCCAATTATTTTGATTTTAAGCTGATGCACGGCAGTTCCCCGCAAATTGCGGTCGTGCGAAAATGCCATATATCAGCTTAAAATCAAGATAATTGGACAGACTCTTTAAAATAAATGCTCATTCAACGTTCATATTTCAATATTTTCTCCAAAATCTAGCATGAAATACCAATATTGGTACACCTAGCAATGAGATGAAAATAGTATGTGTCCAACACTTCAGTTATTCGGTACGCTTTTCCAACATGCTCATGTTTGATTTGCCTTCTTGTTTTTTTTTTTTGTTTTTTTTTTTCAGTTTGGGGCACGGCACTGATATGTGAAACTCACTTTGTGATTGAAGGGTCATCTGAGCATTTTTTGATGAGCGAGTTTTCTAAATACCACGTCACTCCTTGTTACTTTTTTGAATTTCAGCATATTAAACCAAGCAATTAAAATAAAACATAACACATTAATAAAGTGGGCAAAAATGAGAAAGTGTGACAAAATGCACCATCAATGTGCTCGGATTGTGAGAAGATCTGAGACCGCAAAATCCTAGCGAAGAACCGTAAAATTATTAGCAATTTGGTCACCTGTTGAACTTCACTGATGTTTGGAGCTTCCCAATAGCCATCCCAGAACAACCGTTGCAAATCGTGGTTTGTTCCGAAGTCCTGCCTTGTTTTACTCTTATAAATCGGATTCTTTGCTGTAAAAATAAACTTGATAAGAAGTAACAGGTAGAAACTGTTTGAAAAGGCCAAGGAATTATACTTTTATTTGTCTCCTAGATTTATCTGGAGTATTTACATTGTAGGGTTTCAGGTCAGTAGGTCTATACGTCAGAAAGTCTCCTTTTACTAAAGTCTACAATACATTAACGTCTATAATACTTTAACGTCCGCGAATATTAGGTCTATCTAACAAAAACTCTTATTTTTGTATCGTCCACCAAATGAATGTCTACTACGGGAGGAGGTGTTTTCAAATTAAAGTCTAAGTACCGCTGCAACAATTCTATTTCATTCTTTCGTCTATTTACTACGGTAGTCTATCTATCAAAATGTGGACACAGCGAGGATCCTTTGTCAATGAGTACAGCTGATACAGATGATTGCTAACCTAACACGCTTCCATGGCAACCATCAAACATGTACCTACATTTGGAGCTTTTTTCATTATTTAAAATTGCCCAGTCCCCGACGTAAATAGCCTAGATGCTGATCGTCGTTAAATAAAACTAACTAACTAACTCACTCGTGAAAAGAACTTGCTCTTAGAAGAGGGAGAAGTTGCTTGAGTATAAGGGAAGAAAATTTCTTTGACCAAATTATTTTTGTAATCAGGGGAGGTAGGGGGCTGACGCAAGTAGGTACCCTAACGACGATCCTCTTTCCTCACATCTTCAAGCATACCAAAATAAGTATTACTTTTAGTCTTCCTGAATAGGAAATTCCAGAGACGCCTTTTTTTATAGACTATGTTTTCCTGCAGGCGTACACTGTGTGGACTAATTTCCGTTGACTGAATCGGCGTGTATTAATTCTGTGTTTCAACTTCATTCTACGTAGACTTACAACTCGTAGACTCATTTCTGTAGACGCAAAGTCAGTAGACTTTTTGCAGTAGACCTACAAACAATAGACCACATTCCCGTAGACCTACTGACCTCTAACCCATTGTAGGCCTCACAACTTTCACGACCTTTGTAAAATTTTCGCTCGTGCATTTTTTGTTAAATTTTATTTTTACAGTTATTCCCAGAAATTGTGTGCAAACCTCATATTTCTGACTTATAAGATACTCTGGATAATTTCTATGGCAAGTTTGTTTGGTACTCTTCATGAAAGAGTTATTCACAGGTCCTTTTTTTATAAAGCTGTCGTACTAAAGGGTTACAATATTTTCTAGTTTTGTTTCCCTAATGTAATGTGGGCGAAGTCAACATACATATCAACTCTATTGATTATTGTTTCTTATTGCATTTAAGAATTAATAGAAAGTTTAAAGTTTACTGCATATCGACGGTAAAAGTACAGAAGTGCGTTAGTTAAAATCTCGGAAAGCACGATTTTCCAGGAGAGTAAAAAACTATCTTCATTCCTCTTTATTGTTGGTAAAGGGGTAATAATTATTGAGGATAGTAAGAATAAAATGCTTTTCCAGACGTGAGCCGATCGACGCCCATTCAATGGGCAAAGAAATTAATACATTAAAAAACTGATAAAAATCCGTAGAAAACTTGCATTTACCATGAAAAATTCAAATTGCGGTATCTCAAGAATAGAATCAGGCGAGATTTTGATGTTTCGCGATTTTAAGTCTACACGTGCGATAGATTCACCCCCTGCAACTCGTCTTAGGGTACATTTTTGTCGCATTTTATTTGCCTCAAGACCACAGTGCCATTTACATGTCGACGGTAAAACTACAAAAATACGTACCTTAGTTACATTGTTTCAAAATCTCTTTTCTTACTTTATTTTTAAAAGGAGACCTAACCAACATCATGTATTGAAGTTTTCACAAAATATTCTTTAAGTGAAACAGCAAAATCGCTGAAATTTTAAAAAATATACGTTCAGTATAGTTTTTAATGTAAAAAATACTTTATTTCTTACATAAATAACTGATACTTGGCAGGAAGTCTGCAATTCCGCAAAGCGAGATACGTTGTTCTGCAGTATCACCATCGATATATTGGTTTTGCAACGTAGGTGGTTTGCGTAACTTACCGTATGTGTGTATACTGGACATATTTTTGACGCCATTTTTGATCACCGCAGTTACAAGTCTTTGGAATGCAAAATCATATTCTGATGCTATATCTTTGTAGTCTTCTTGATACAAACCTAAACAATTTAATCAATTATACAAACGGAAAGTTCTGCTTGCAATTTTTGACATAAAACTACAATAATTTAAAAATTCAACTCTTCGTCTCTAAATTAAAATAAACTCTTCAGTGCTCCGCAAGTATATAAAGGGCATATCAATTCTTAAGTATCGATGCCGTTTTATAATACAGAGTAGAAAGTGAAAGCTTGATAAGCTCTGACATGAAAAGATTCCTTAATACTGACATGTTGAAGAAAAACGTTACATGAATATTCGAACGTTGCCAAATTTCCCTCGATAACATAATTAATTTTTGAAAAGTTGTCTGCATGCTAACCTTGAACTTTTCCAGATACTTAAGATACGATAAACTTGCAATTGAGTTTTTCTAAAAAGTTAGGAGAGGAATACACATAAGTAACCCTAGAAATGTGTAATTTTCTGCATACTAATGCGGCGTTCTGTCTGGGCATGACAGCAGAATATCCGCTATTCAGTTCTAGGTAACTTCAAATTCTCGTCATCCATCACGAGCGTCATCAATCGCACATTTAATGGAGAGTTTTCGCGACTGACATTAATTTCTATAGCGACTATTGGCTATTATTCATTGACTTACAATTAGTAGCGATGGTCTCTTACCGTCGTCATCAAAGTTTTCCAACATCCAAATTGGTCTCATCTGAATTTTTCCATCGTCAAGGGAGACGTTTTTCAGTCTACTGTAAATGTTTCGAAGGTCTTCTGGCCACATGTGCTTTGCTGCATCTATTCTGAAAATTTGAATACAATTCTTAGTGTATGTCCCGAGTTTTGATGTTACCACTCCTGAAGTGAAGGAACTCCTTCTCACACATATCTTCAAGCACTCATATAACAAGACACATTTGTCATACAAACTTCTCTCAGAAAAACTGCACTTAGGTATTTTGTAGTGGGGAAAAAACTATATAAGGGCATCCAAACACCGCTAGATTTCTAAAAAAATATCTCAATTATTTATGGATACATAATTTGAATTGCTCACAGGATTTCATTCCAAGCTAAATTTAATATGGACGAAAATTTCAAAGAAAAATAAGCATAGAACTTTGCGAATGAAAAGATTTTTCTAAAAATGTTGACAACCTTTGAATATCCAGATGTATGCCCTGAAAGAAAATCGATAAGCTGCAGAACGCTCAATGTTGCATATGGATAAAAAAAATATTTGGTTTGTCAAAACGACATTTCGGTTCGTAGAATCTAATGTGTGGTTCATGAGAACGAACTTTTTGACTGACCCAAACTGAATAAATGGGATATAGTCTTAGACGTCTACCTCGGGTCTTAGATAAAAACCTCGTCAATATTATGATTAGCCTGATGGTTATCTATAATGAAATAAAATGTCTAAAAATGCCGCTTTCAAGGCGTTTCCTGACGCTCTACACCGCTCAAACCTCCCCAATCCCCAATCATTCCAAAGCCCTTTAGCAGGTCGTATTGAAATTTATAGACAAAGCTATAGACAAAGAAGACAAAAGATGTATGAAGGGAGACCTACTGGTGGAGGCGGGTGCTTGCAATGGACAAATGCGGTAGATGATAGACTAACTAACGGCAACCCACACATGACCATTTAGTTAGTCCATGAGCCATGGCATTCTCCCTTAGTGCATAGAATCCACTCATTTCAACCTACAGGATCGCTCCATACTCCCTACGTCTTCTTTTTCTGTAGTTTTGTCTATCAATTTCAATAATCAGTCCGCAAAGAGCTGGAATATTATTATTCGAATTCTAAAAAATAATTTAATATCGTACAAGGATCCTCATAAAAAAGCCTATCAACTAAATATTGAGAGAGTTGTAAGTCTTTTAGGTTAAAGGTTAATACACACTATTAAGGTAGCTAAGTTCTTACCGAAATCCAGCGACTCCAAAATCAATTAGTTTATTCAGGAACGATACAATTTTATTTTGCACATACGGCTGCGTTTGATTCACATCCTGCAGATGCTCAAGCTCACACACTCGAACCTGCATATGACATGATTTAATGTTAAAGTATATGCTAAAAGAAATAAAGTTTGCGAGGTTAAATCAGACATATTTAATACTTTAACTGGACTAAAAATGGAGGAGATTCACCATGAACTCTTCTCATAGTGTAAAGTAGAGAACAAATTTGAGATATTTTAAATTTTTTGCCACTGAATAGAAACCTCAATATTCGTCATTTCATGTCTGAAAAGTAAGTTTTATAATCTACCATCTTTATTCTGGAAGTGTCCATATCTTTAGAAGGGATTTCTAGAGGAGGAAACAGCTGTATGTGATCTTAGACGGATAACACCCTATGTTAAGCATTCGCAAAGCGTAAATGATCGATTATCGAGATTTCCCTGAATGGTAAAGAATCGATTGGATTTCATTTTGCAAAAAGGAACCACTAGCACTGCAATTTTGCTAGAATTGTGCGACTTCTTTCGTCTTGGAGGAAAAACCCGATTATCCCTTAATAGTTTCTATTTTACTCACTAAAAACTGTAAATTTAAGACAAAAATTTATTACCATCTAAATTTCTTAGTTTTTCACGATTTCCGTAATTTTATTGCAAAAGATGAAGCTGCACAATCTTAGCATCATTGCAATGCTAGTGGTTCCTTTTTGCAAAATGCAATCCGATTATGAAGGTGTTCGTTGCGAGCAACCTGTGTATCGATCCTTTTCCATATAGGTTTGGGTAGCAGATAAATCGATACATCGCAAAGCACGCCAGGTCACTGATGTCAACTGCTTTATATCTGTGTCCTATGTCAACTATGCATACATGTTAAGTTTTTTAGCGCTGCATGATGTATCTCGAGTTTAATATTTCATTTCTAAAACAATTGAAATAATGTATATTTACCGCAATTCGATCATCAAAGTCCATCGGACATGCTTCGTGAAAGTTTTTTGACGTGTATCCGAGGCCAGGATAAGTTTTGGTCTTAACATTTGCATGAGTCCCTGCAGCACCCACCACGTCACCATCAAAAAATGTGCTTGACACACCATGGTTAAACACAGCATCAACGTACACTCTGTAACAGTATTTTTTTTTTTTTTTTTTTTTTTTTTTTTTTTTTTTTTTTTTTTTTTTTTTTTTTTTTTTTTTTTTTTTTTTTTTTTTTTTTTTTTTTTTTGTCAAGGACATTACATTTTAGCACTTTAAAGTGTCATAAAAGAAGGAAGAGTCAAAGAGCCATGCAAGAAGGTTCCTTCCTTCCCCTCACAGTTTCATTAAATGAAGTAAACCTCCGAAAGGACCACACTGAAAAAAAAACCTCACGGGCATTACGCACGCACACACAAGTGCACGGACATGTACTTTGAAATATTATTTTAAAATTCAATTGTCTCATCAAATAGTGATCGAAACAAAATTCCAAGTTCATACGTATGAGTTTAACGTAACGCACAAATGGTATGACTGATGTCCAGTAAAATACGTTCATGACGTGTTTAAAAGTTATTTCCAGTTTTTATTGTCATGGACACTACAGTATGCGTTTTTTTAAAAACATTTTTTTTCCACAAAAGTTTCGTTTCTTGATTCAGATTTTTTTCTTGGTTTTTAACCTCATGCCCGATACATGCTGTAAAAAATAATAATTTTCACTATACAAATAAGTTTTCGACGACACGAGAAAATGTATATTTTTCAACCTGAATTTCTCTTTAAGAAAAATGCCCAACAGTTAAATGCCTGTTTTTTTTTCAGGTAAGTGGTGACGCACATTTGCCACATTTGCCAAACTGGATTCAAATCAGTAAAAGGAAACGTCTAACTGGGAAAGATACTGCGCATTTCAGGGAAAATGATAGCCCCAAGGAACGAAATGTGTTGTCTTGATGACTTCCTATAAGTAAAAAAACCATCATGTTCCACCTGATATTATTAGTTTTTCAGTGATATGAGAGAGGAATTTTACTTCCTTTAACGGATCCTATTTTTGAAAAGATTGCTTGGCATTCATATTAACTTTGATGGCTGAGTGCCTCTTCTTATTTGATTTATTACGATTATCTTACCCTCAGCATACAGTAAGTTTCCTTCCAAAATCCGTGAATCTTACCTCACGTCATGTTTGTTGCATTCTTCAACCATGCTTTTGAATTGTTGCTCAGTTCCTAGTCTTGATCTAATATCCCATGATATGATTTGATACCGCTCATACCAAGGTCTCACATGCCTACCGTTTAGGTTAATTTTGAATGCTGCGTTCTCAGTGACTGATGACACCTGCGTAAATTAACAAAAGCTGTAGTTACATACATGCCGTTACGATGTAAGTATGCAAAATCTCGTCGCTTGTCAAATTAAGAATGCAAATTAGTAAGTAATTAGTAGTGTAATGATCAATAATTGATGTCAGTTTAAGCGCTCAAAAGGAAATGATTGAGCGAGCCATGCTTCGACTAATCTTGCAGATAGGTCTTCCCTTTCTCAAAAATGTTGGTATACAACGATGTGTTTAAGTATCAATTTAGTTTTAAAATTATAATAGACTCTGGCAGGATGGTATACCCGTTGGTAGCACAGTAAAAATTAGTGATACATAGTAATTACATATTAATACCAGTACTTGCACATACAGGGTGTCCCAGACCGCTCGAGCCCGTTTATTCTCTCTTTCGTTTCAGGTCACACGAAGTCAGAGACCCTGGAGACCCCTGTTGAACAGGGGATCGACCTCAAGAAATCCGAATTTTACGGTCTTGAACCCCTCCTATCTTCCCTCGGGAGGTAAAAGGGGGCTCATGATACTAAAAGTCGGGAACCCCCCGGTTATGTTCCCTCCGGAAAATGTCTTTTGGTCGCAAAAGTGACGCAGATTCGAATGACGAACGGGTGATCTCGGACACCCTGTATAGTTTCAACCGCAGAACTGTGTCCTTAGGTAATCTATTTTTAACATTTTCTAAAATATAAAGTAGAGATTAGTATACTTTTATGTTCTTTATTTTTTTATAGCACGAGATAGCCTCCGAATTTCGGAAAGAACACTCGGATCCGTAGATCACGAACCGTTGAATAATCGAACATCCTTGGAGAAAATTTAGAATAGATTTGGAGAAAATTGATGGATGACGCCTTTTGTTGATTTGTCATCTTGGACTTTACAAAACAAACGGTGGTGTCGATTTAGCTCTTTGATAAGTTTTAAAAACGGGGATGGAATAGTTTTTGAATAATTCACTGGAAAAAACAAAATGCGAGGATAGCATCCAGGATGTCGAATGTGTATCTAGTCATCCTCAGATGTTGTCCTTGCTGCCTTTGCAGTTGATTTTAAATCCTAGAAATGCGAACATAACTACGGAAGCAGTCAAGACAGCTTACAAGAGTCACAAACATTTTTGACACCCACGTTGTCTTTTTCAGCATCCTGTCATTTTCAACGTTACTACTCACATACGTTTGGAACTAAAAAGAGAGAGAAAATAATTTTTTTTAAAATGAAGTCTTTAAAAGTTTAAAACGCACCAAAACAGCACCAAATTTTTGTGGACCTAGAATATTTCTACACTCCTCTCTGATGTCATCAAAAGGCCATTCAAAAAGCTGGACAACCACCCTTCTGTCTCCTTTCATTCCTGTGTCAAATTGGCCCGTGGAAACGTGAATAGTGAGTGCCAGCAGCAAGATGAATGTATTTAGTTCTTGCATTCCGCTGATTTTCAATTACGTTGGAGTCCCTAACAACAATAAATTGTGCAGATGAGAAGTATTGAAATATAAGCATTCTGACATTTTTTACCATGATCAACCTGAAGTAAAATGGGCATAGTGCGATGTGACTTCAAAAGAAAATTATCTCCTCATAAAATTTGATTTAGCATGAAGGTCATAATTCAACAAGACTTGCGTTTGTATAAAATGATAACAGTTTATCTCCGCAATTTCATATTTCCGACTCCTTTAATATTTTATTCTATGGGTAAATACCATGAATGGAAGTAAATATTAATCTTCATCATGAAAACACAATTGGATCTTAACGCTCGACAAACCTTTGATGCGTAAATAAATCATGCAGGCATTCAATATTTCGCGCTCAAATTTTGGACCATTTTTACATGTATTATTTCTTTTAAAAATAACATAAAAAACACTAAGTTTTGAACATCAGTGCCGACTATCTCCTGTATTTATATGTACGTATATGCGTAGGGCAGCGGTGTTACAGCCGCAAGCCAATTATTTTAGTATCACTTGATTTTTTTCGTCGTGTCTTCCTTGCGTTTGATGTTTCATTAAAGGTGCCAATTACTTAATTCTAATAGAAAAAAAAAAAAAAAAAAAAAAAAAAAAAAAAAAAAAAAAAAAAAAAAAAAAAAAAAAAAAAAAAAATACAAAAATCGAGTAATGGAACCTACGAGGTCTGTTAGATCAGAAACCGGATTTTGGTCATAACTAGCCCACAATGCATCCAAATTACGTTTTCTTGAGCTTTTCTGATAGCTGGAAATATACTTAAGAACGCTACGTTCACAAATTTGAAAAATCCTAATTAGCCTTAATTAGCTTCGTTGGTATGTGGCTTGAAGTAAGGCAACCTCAAGGGTGTTTTGCGATTTTTATGTTTCACCGAACTTGTCTCTCTTTTTTCGGTCTTGCACTACATTTTTCAACCCACAAGGACGATTGGAGTTTCGTCTCCATATCGTAGCCGTACACTAAAATATTGTCACCGAAAATTATCCTATCCAAAAATGTAGGATCACTGTTAGAACGTTCAAGCAGCTAAAGGGAAATTGACATTTGGTTGGATTTTCATTCAACGGACAACAATCAAGGGGCAAGTGTACCTGAAACTCGATGCGTGTCTACATATTCTATCAAAATTGTATGTACAGAGCCTTCAGAAATATTACTCTGTTCAACAAGCTCGAAACGACCGTTTTCGAGCACTTTTGCCCGCATTTCTTCCACGTGACAAATGTCAGTTGCCGTTGAGGGTCGATTCCCATGCTCCTCATCTTTGACGAACTCCTAACCAGTTTTGAATCGTTTAACTCATTCAAAACAGTGGGAACATCTCATACAATGATCATGGTAAACTTTACTTAGCGTATACCAAAAGTTTTGGTACAAGGTATACCGAGTTTAAAACAAAATTTAATGTTGATCTTTGCTCTATCAGTGATCGCATGATGAAAATCGCAAAACGCACCTGACTTACTCGTATTCAAGATGACACAGAATAAACACTGATCAAAATAAACAAAATCTGTGAACGTAGCGTTCTTAAGTATATTTTCAGCTATCAGGAAAGCTCAAGAAAACCTAATTTGGACGCACTGTGGGCTAGTTATGACCAAAATCCGGTTTCTAATCTAATAGACCTCGTATTTACCATGTAGGTGTATTTCAGCGTGCATGTCCAATCTACTCTTTTAAATGACAAAATTTCAGTATTATTTGACCTGCTGACACGTACTTTCATAGTCAGGTTTTGATCATTTCATCATTATGTGTTTAAATATGTTGCAAGTGGCTCATTAAAATCTAAACTTACTTTCAATAACTTTTCAAGTTAAACATTAATCGGAATCTTTATGAATATTTTCACTCGCCATTGACCCATGTGTTAATGCGCAATGTTCATTGCTAATCGCATGTTACAATCCTTACAAAAGTTTTAAAATCGTTGCATTTTAATGATACAGATATTAGTATAATTGTGATTTTTTTCATCATGATATACGCTGTAAGAAAAGACTATCTGAAAGAAACCTGAAGAAGTTCCACGATAAAAAATCGGTAAGAATAAGTTTTGCGCACGACACATGATGAACTTAGGTTCGATATCCTACTTTTCATAATAGTATATAAATTACCAGAAAATGAAAACACAACAAACCAGTCCAGTAGAAATGCCTCTTTAAGTAAACACCAAAAAAAGAACATACATTTGCACCAAAGTAGTTAGCTCGTCCTGCGCGTGTGATGGATACGGATATGGTAATTTTTCTAGTCTTCAGAATTTGTGCCTTTCAAGCATTTATTGAAGGCAAAAAAGATTAACAGTATTATCTCGTCTCAAGCCGTTCAAAAAATATTGTGCAACTGTTTCGGAGAGTTCTGTCCTAACTAAACGTATAATTTTCCAACAACGTAAAAGAGATGGGGAAGGGATGAGAGTAGGTCATCAATTGAGATGGAAATTTTTTCAAACAAGCATAGAATACATTGCCCCCAAAAGAAGATATACTTGTACATCCTCAATTCACATCAAATGGCTCATTCAAATCATTGTTTCCTAAAAGTTTGCCCATCAAGTATCATGACACTATCTAGATTTTTGCACTCAATATAGTCTGTCAAATAAACCGTATCACCCTATTGGGAGAAGAATTGAGATCCGAAGATCTGCCCCCGTGACCCTCTTCGCAAAAATAGACGACGTTAAGAGCAGCGGCGAAATGCGAATGATCAATGGACGTATTTCTGTCAAACGGAACCATGTGCCTTAAAACATGAGCCCTGAGACCCATGAGAATACATGCGTAATAGGGCTCACGTCATAATGCACATAGTTCCGTTTGACAGAAATACGTCCAATTATAGATATTTCCCTATATGTAGCTATAGTAAGGAATCGATTATTAAAGTGTTCGTGGCGAACACCCTGTTTATCGATTCTTCTCCATAGGTTTAAATGGCAGGTCAATCGATATATCGCAAAGAACGCCACGCCACTGTTCAAGAGCCTCTTGAAATACCCGCATAGATAAGGGACCACAAATGGCTGCGAAACCCAAATAGCCCAAAAGGTTAATGACTGTCAACCCACGGTAAATCAGTGTTTTGTCCCTCTGTATGTTTTGCTGCGGAACATTATTCCACCATAACTGCAAATTGATATCAGATCCTAAAAGAGTAAAAGAGTTTTCAATCAAAAAAAGTTGGTTTCGAGAAAAAGCAGGTACTTGAAGCTTTGAGGGTTGGTTAAAAGTAAAGGAAACAGTATTACTTCTAAATTCAAAGAACAGACTAGAGCGCGACATAAGGTTTATTTGTTGAAATACATTATAATTTAGCCATGCGTTCTCGTATCATGATTATACACAATTTATATTTTGATACTCTCCAGAGTGGGAGTTACACAATTATTTTGACCGATCGAGACCTTACCGTACAGGGTGATCAAACAGACCTCACATACAAGAACCATTAGTACAATTGGCATTTTCACTGTAAACTTTGTACAAATTAGAGTGGAGACTTGAGAGTTTGTAAGTGCACCTAGGTTAAGAAAACGACTTCGAGAACCCCTAAAACTTCAAGGAGACAACCTTAAAAAAAGGCAAGAACTTTAGGGACCTGTAGTCCTCATGCTTATGGAAGGTACGGAACTTTTGAATCGCCTTGCACAGAGTTTCCGTAAAATCTCGTCCCCCTCTAACATTTTACCTAATCGAGCTAAGGTTTGAAACTTTGGTGATGTTCCTGGGTCAAAGGAAGCTACTACTTGGCCCCCTAAAATTTTTAGGGGGTCCCTCGAGGGAAGGTAACTGATCTCAGCTTTTTATTTCATGTGGAAAACCCCCCTTATGATACCATGATGATACCACACATAAAAAACGAAAAACAATTGCGCAAGCATAAATCATTATCTTAAACCGTTTCAAAATGGCGACCGTTCAAAAGTGCAGAATAGCCGAGAATTGGCAACCTCTGTTTTTTTCAAAATTTAACGTCTCAATTTATAAGCTGAAAACCGAGGTCACCAATTTTTAGTCGTTTTGACCTTTATCCGATCGCCATTTTGAAAATTTTAGGGGCTCCAAAAGTAGTTCACTTTGACCAAGAAGGATTCTTCAAATTTCAAATCTTTAGCTCAATTATTTAGAAAGTCAGAGGGAGGAGGGGACTATACGGACACCCTGTGTGATGGACCACTCAACCTCGCAATTTTATCATGATTACTTTTTACTCATTAGTTTGTTTCCTCTCTTTAAACTGTCTCCTTTCATGGTCCTCAATAAGAATAAAAACCATAATCCTCTAGTTTGTCAGCCATCCACGTTTTTCATTTCTCCAAGAATATTGCCAGAGACGGGCTTAAACTTTCCTTCATTGGGGAAAAATCCCATATGAAATTAATCTGACTGTTAATTGTTAGCAATGCACATTTTCCTACTTAATGAGTCTTTGTGATCGAGATTAAGGAACTGATTGTGAGTTATCCGCCACTCTCAGGTTCGTCTATCTTCAATTCCATATTTTAACCCATTTCCGGTAGATTTTAAAACCAAACTTCAACGCGATAGATATGACACGAGGGACTTGGAGGACAAGGCGCTTAAGTGCAATATTTGCTGCTTCGAGAGATACGTATTTGAAATTTCGATATTACATGGTTCTTTATAGTGGAAAGAAATGCTTAAGAATTGGAATTCGGGAGCATTGAGACATTTGCATTAAGACTAGTTATTTGATTGATGCTCGATTCATTTTGTACCTAAACATCGAATGAAAAGGAAGTTACTATTCGTATATTCAATTACAACACGCTGTGTTGGGTATGGTGGAAGTATAGAGAATCGAAATAAATTATTTGATTTAATGCCTCAAAAAAAGGTCTAAGATTTGTTCTTAAATCGTAAAGTCACATTTATTGCCACTTATAAAGAGGAAGACTTAAAAGGCTTTAAAGGCTTTGCTCAATAGAGACAATATA